TATTTTACTAAAATGTTTTAAGAGGAGTTATCAAATTCATTAATCAACTGAGTGTACATATTCACATGTCACAGCGCGTCTTACATGTCATGGCATATCATGGCACGCGACATAACATGCCGTAAATTTTACATTTTTATAAAAAACAAATTCAATATTTTGGTGCAATAATCTTAAGAGATTAAAGTATTTTTTTAGTAAAGTAATTTTTTTTTTCATTTTTTGAAAATTTTACTCTGTTGTTCCTCTATAATTGTTTCGTATATACTTAAAACTTATATACTCATATACTCATAACTTATATACTCATATACTTATGTTGAAATATGGTTTTTAGTGAGCGCCATGTAATAATTTTCAACAATGAATGAATTCTATGACAACAGTATAACAACTTTTATCCTTTAGTTTACCCAATAATGTCTTTATGTGTAATAATTCTTTACAATAGCGTATAGCGAGTGAATAAGTGAGTGCAGCAATGAATGGGCGACTGTTTGGATGAGTGAACGAATAGAACGATAGAAGAAAGAAATGAATAGATCAATTAGAAAATTTGTGGAGTGACAACGTTGTTACTTTTTTTTCTTTAATTTAAAGAATTAAAACTGCTAACGAAAACGAGCTTACTATTTCGAAAAATAAATATAAAAAGTTTCTGCAATACATTTATTCTGTCTTAGATTTTCATTATTTGTCTAGGATTATATTATCAATATATGTTGTAGAGTAATTCATCTGTTCGTGTTACAGCATATATTTTTGAAGTGAAAAAAAATGTAAAATTTTCTTTAAAAAAAAAAAAAAAAAAAAANGCCACCAAATTAAAAAAAAAAAAAAAAAAAGCAAAAAGAAGAAAAAAAATACTTGCTTTATTGCATGAAGTATTGTGAATATAAATCACCGAAATTTTTAGCATTAATTTTAAATTTTTTTCTCCTAATTTTATTTATTTTATTTATTTATTTATTTATTTTTTTACATTAAAATTTTTAACTAGATTTCTTATACTGTATTCATTTTTCAGTAATAACTATCTTTCATACGAAAGAAATATAGTGAATAAATATGTTCAGTACTTTTTCATTAATAGTTTAAAATTAATTACTTAAAAAAACATAGTCTCGACCATTTGTTTATGTATTTTACAAGCAACTTTATAATGGGAGCATAAAACCTCAATATTTAAATGTGGTGCTGCCATCTTACAGAATTACTTCTAACTACTTTCAATAAAATATACAATCCTCACTATTATAACACTCAGCGATTTCAAAGATCCCCAGTATTCTGCAAAGCACTATTTTCTGTAATTCTACATTAAACTCTAATTATTTTACAAGAATAATTTCATTCATTATTTAATTAATTTTTTTCATTTCACTCCTTTATATTCAAATCATGGGATTTTAAAAAAAAACTAGAACCACAAGTAGTATTAAGCTATGTGGTGCTGCCATCTAACACCATATTTAATAACTATAAAGGTAAAAAGGTTATGATGAAAAACTTGGATAAAAATAATAATACATATCCACTTCACCAGCATAAAACCATAAAACATTTTTGCATTCTTCATAGATATAAATTCAACTAATAAAAAATAGTTGAATTGTTAAATCTTTAAAAAGCTATTTTTTGGATAGGTCTTCTTATATTGAATGATTGAGTGGAATCAATTTTCTTTTTAATTTAGTGCATAGTTATTCAAATTATTTTTAATGTGTAAAACGAGAAAATTAGTAACACTATGTTATCAATAAACTTTTAATGTTACATCTTCATATTTTTTAAATTAAAAAGAAAAAGGTCGGAAAATATTATACCAGGTTAAAAATTTTATAATATATATTAATATAAATTACACATTTGACAACTAATACATTTTAAAACATATTTTTTAACTTCTTAACGAATTTGCCCTTGTCTGACAATAGCGAAAGTTACCGGCAAATTTGTACATGACCATGTTTTACACGGGCAATCTTGTATCTTGCGTTATTTCATTTCTAATACCCGTCTGCGATCCGTTTCAGTAAAAATGGATTGGCTAGATCTTACATGAGGCCGTGGGCAGCAATTGAAAACACTAGTCAAATGGCGGGCCGCAACTTTATCATCATTTTATATAAGACTCTTTAATCTTTGAAGGAACATTAAATATTACTGTCAGATTTTTATCAAGTTGTACAAAACAAAAGTATAGAATTACAAGTAATAATAAATATTTTCTTGGATGCAAAACATTTTTTTGTACCGCTGGTATGTTCAATTTCACAGAAACGAAAAAAATTAGGGTTTTTTTAAGGAAGGAAAGTATTTTAAACCCATATAGATTTTTTACGAAAATTGTCCGCAAAAAAATTACAACTAATATATTTAAGTTCACGGGCCACAAAAATGGCTTCGCGGGCCGCCAGTTGGTAACCACTGGGCTAGATTATAGTTACATTTATTTACCATAGATGACATCACTCTGCACTTTAACCTGTTAGGAATTCCTTGTTATAAAGCAGTTGTTTGGTATGGAAAAGGTAATATATCCATATTTATTGCGAAAAGTAAACAGTTAACCATAAATTAATTTTTATTAAGTGTTTTTGTAACTTGTTTTGAAAAAGTTATCCGATAATGAGTGACTTTGATGATTTTGAATATGCCAATTTATCAGAAAGTTTTAGCGATGAAAGTGATAATTTCTTGAGTTGATTTAATTTGGATTTTAATATTTTGAAATTCGAAATGGACCTGTGATCGAATTGTTTAAACTTTGTCCGTGCGGTAGTTTTTTTATTTATAACTTTTACACCAAACCACATTTCCTTATCACCTTCCTTATATGTTCATTTTCTGTCCCAAAAAAATTCGATCAGTTACTACCAGTTTTTCCGAAAAAAAACTCGTGCGATAAGGGGTTGAAAAAAATATTTCTAAACTTTTTATAATTTAATGAGTTGTGTAACTCCGAAGTCAATGAAGGCCTAAGACGAAAATCATTTAAGTATGGAAAATGTCCCCAGAATTACCGTGTGTTTGCCATAAATAAAAGATTCCCTTAGAACCTTGTGGTTTTATCGTTTTCTCTTTCAATAAGAATATAAAATAACAACAACAACAAAACAAAAACTAAAAAAAAAAAAAAAAGAACTCTCATAAAATTGCAAGCTCCTAAAATCGCTCGAAAAAAGCTTTTTTATCAATTTTATTCAGATTAATAACTATTATTAATTTTATTCAGATTAATAATTATTATAAATTTTATTCATAATAATAATTACTATTAATTTTCCTCATGATAATAATTATTATATATAGAGAGAGAGAGTTTTACTTAGTTACAAATATAGTTTTCAATTCTTGAATCTCAATTTGGGATATTGATTATTTCGTTCTTTAAAATGTCATTGTATATTATTATTAATATTTAGTATTAAAATGTTTTAATGATAGAATTGAAGGCCAAGATAGCCTAATTGGCAGGGCACTGGACTCACGTTCGGGAGAACTGGAGTTCGAATCCAGCCGGCCAGAGACTCCCCTTGTAGTATATGGTGGCTGGTGCACGTTAAATCTGTCGAGTCTCGAAGTCCTCCATGTTCCCATAACAAATTATACATCTGTGGGCACTGAATTGGAGATTGATCGTTCTCTGGTTCAAGTCAAAATAACGATTTTTGGATGAACGGACGTATAAATGGATCCATCTTATAAACGGGTGTGGCAGAAGTCGAATTCTTGGCCATAGATGGCGCCACTGTAAAGCAAGAACAATCGCACCCCTTGCCTTAATAGCCTACAACAACAGCACTAGAATTTAATAAATTTGAAAGCTTTGAAATTGAATTGCCGTTTAGACGTATAAGAATAAGCATATTTATGATTAATATTATTACAGACGGTTAATTTTATTCACATTTTTGCAACTATAAAACTATCGACACATATTTCACTAGCTAAAAAATGTCAACTGTATCAAATTTGGGATACATATTTTAGATATATTAATAATAAACGAAAAAAAATAATGTAACAAATTTAATATAAAAAACACTTTCAAAACATAAATGTAAATATTCTTAAATTTAACTTACTAGAAATTCCGAGGATTCAAGCGTAATATAAATAAAAATAATTAATCATTTCGATGTCTAGTATTTTTAGTTTAATTTTTATTAGCAAAAATTAAACATGTTTTTATCTATGGATAATTCAAGTTAAAGTAAGTTAAAATAATTTTACGGCATAAAAATTTTTCAGCTATGTCAAAAATTGGAAACATTGGTTTTAAATAGCAAATATTGCTATAAACAATCTAAAGTACAAATAATCCAAGTTAAAACAAATTAAAAACTTTTGCTTTTGAGCTATTACCTAGTTTTAGTTTCATTAAAATATAACACATTAACTATTAATTACAAATATTGCTCAAAGCAGCTTAAAATACAATTTAAAATAAGTTAATTTAAGTTAAAATAAGTATAAAATTGCTGATTAAAAAGCTTTATGAATTTAGTTAGATAAAAAGTTGGAAACATTAATTTTGGTTGCAAATATTATTAAAGGCAACTTAAAGTACGGATAATGCAAATTAAAATTAATTGAAAATTGTTCATTTCGAAGAATAGTATTTCAGTTATACTAGAAATTGGAAACATCAATTTTTTACTGTTAAATTTTCTTAAAATTTCTCACAAAACTATTTTTATACTTATTGAATGCAACAACAACGCAGATAATTTTTAACAAAAATCTTTCTTTTTAAATTATCCAAAATATTAGAAAATGTGTGTATATATATACTCACAAAAAGATAACACAATTTTAAAACAAGGAATAAAAAATTTTCCGTTGCTAATCTCAACTGTAGCATTTGTATTTTTAGCCACATTTCGCAATCAATTCTAATTAATTAACCGTTTAATTCTTCAACGGAAAAAAGAAATGGTTTTAATAACCTTGAAAGTACACCTTCCGAAAGACTGATAAGAGAGAGGCTACTAGAAAAAGCGCATTTCAATAAGGAACACCTTGAAATACTCAATCCGGATTTTCAAGTCTAATCCTTGGCGCATCACTTTCGCCTTCCGTGCATTTTTATATTTGGAACTTATTTTATCTTTCAACATACCTTCTTGTTGAGGGGACAAATAGGGGAGCATTCCCCAGACATTTATTGGAGAAATGGGAAACTCTTGTGAACTTAGTCGTTACCGACGAATTGAGGTAAGAAGAAATTCTTTTTTAAGCCAATAATTAAGATCAAGGCATTTAGCATAAATGCATTTTGTTTCGTATTTCTTGATTGTTTTTTTTCCCTTAATGATGCATCATTTATGTTTTTTTTTAGGTAATTTTTCTCTTTTTTTTCCTCATTTTGATACTTTTTGTTTTAAATTTTGCTTGTAAATTTCTTTTTTTGTAAATTAGTGTGTAAAATTTTTCTTTAATATTTTGTCATTTTAAATATCCTTACATATAAGTGTTGGATGTTGGATAGAGTTTTTCAAGCTACGAAAATTCGCTGTAAAGCAATAGGCTATATTTTGTAGCGTAAATAATTACAAGTGGTTAAAGAAAAAGACTATGAACCAGAATTTGATTTCACTAAATTAGTACCAATATAAATTTTATTTAAATTTTATAGGACTCAATATGAAAGGAGGATGTATAATATTAATATACAAACTAAATCATATTTTTTAAAAAGAAATCATACATAAGGAATTTAAAAAGGAAAAAGTTAATTACCATATCTTTGAACATATCTTTGAACAAAACAGCAACTAACATATTGAACATTTGGCAGGACATAAAAAGAAGGGGTGAATAATGAACAGAAAAAGAAGGGGTCAGTATCGTTCCCGTAACAGGTGTTCCAAAAACAAGGATGGACGGAAATCCACTTAATTTTAACTCTCTATCTTAAGCATAAAAAAGATAATTAAATAAAATGTTGTATTAAAATATATATTAATTTAAACAAGTTAAATTAAAACTTATATTAAGTTGCGATACAATATTTTATTCCAGACATTTGTATACCAAATTTTAGATTGCTATACAACTTATTTAAAAAAAAAAAAAAGTTTCATTGTCATAATAATGAATCAGTATGTTTTTCATTAACCCAAACGATAAACTTAATTCCATCTCTAAGTGATTTCTATAACAATAATCAAGCTTAAAAAAAGCTTGCATATTGAATTTTTTATTAGTTATTTCATTTTTATTTATTTATTAAAATGTTCAAATAAAAATTTAAATCTTCGGAATGCTTAGCGGATCATTTAAAATGATCTCGCGAAAAATCATATTTAGTGTTAATGTGAACTCATTTATTTTTAAGCTATGACCAAGAATTTTACTGTCATCATGTTTTATTTCTTTAATTAGTCTGATGAAGTTCTGACTGTGATAATTTTACGAAAATAAAAGCCTTATATTTTTTAGAATCTTATAAGGAAAAGAGTTTTCCAATTTTTTGGTGGATGGGACCCATTTTAGAGGTGAATTATCCTCCTTCCCAATTTAAAAAAATTAAAAAAAAAAATTGTTATTCAATTAAAAAAGGAATTCTTTTTCAAATTTATGTTATTAAATTACGTGATAGTTTAATAATTGACAAGCTCTTAATGAAACACAATTTCTTTTTCAGTTCACTGACAATATTAGAATTGTATTCATAAAATATACAATTTGAAGAAAAAAAATCTAAATTAATCAAACTGCTCAATCAATTTAAAAACAGTTAGCAACTAACATATTGAAAACAGACAATTATTTTGGTAGCATGATATTTTCGAAATAGCTTCAATTCTCAAAATCTGACCGTTGTTATATATTTTACAATATTTAACCAACTACTCAATCAAATACCGGCAATCAACTTGCTATTTAGAAAGATCGTGATAAACGATTTCTTTCAAGATTGCTTCACGCAGAAGGAAAAAAAAAATTTAAATCACGATTCTACCAGGTCAAGGTCGAAAATCACTTTGGAATTAGAAGTCGCATGAAGGTCGCTTAAAATCATCAACAAATTTATTTTATTTTTTCGTGATATTTTTAATACTTTTAATTGTTTGAAACATTTTAAATAGTAAGTCATGTTTGGAATGTGCATTATTATTATTCGAATGCACTTTCTTATTCTTATTGCATAGTCGGATAATTCTGATAAAATATTTTGTACTTATGCGCATATCTTTTGTCATTTACATTGCAGAATATGGCACATGACTGTTTTTGTCAATGGATGCTCAGCCATTTTCGGATATGAGAACCAAAAACCATGTTGACTCTAACATGAAGTTGTAATCATAAAAATGTAAAGCGTATTTAGATATGATTTAGCAGTACGTAATACGGATGACTCACTAATGTGTAACTCAGTGGCGTACGCAAGGGGGGGGGTAGTATTTATTGTAACCCATCTTGTACAATTTCTCTTAACAATTAGAGTATTAAAAGCCATTTTTTGGTGAGGGGAAATATTTTTCTATTATTTCCTTAAAATTTAATTTTGTTATTTCAAGGGGAAAAAACGAGCTGCATAAAAAATTTTTAACAAAATTTAAATAAAGCCTTTTTGGGATCCTTTACAATTGCAAAATAACAAGACTATTATAAACAAATTATAACAACTAATGGGCTACGCAGTCTTATATGGTTTGCTTCGAAAACCGAAACTTAGGTACATTGCAAATGCACAAAATTCTAAGAATTCAAAACAATCATTCAAATCCATATATAACAACTTTTTTTAAAAAAAAATTACATCTTTTTAGTAAATACTAAGTCATTAAAATAAATTTGAATTCAAATAAAGACTCATTGACTGAGACTCATTTTTCAATGAATAACTAATAACAATAATAAAACAAATAAATTCATAAAATATAAATTCGTGAAAAAAAGGGTTTTCGTCAAAATACTAAAATAGAGATCTATCGACAAAGACTACTCACTTCTGCCTAGCTTAATAGTATGAGATTGACGCAGCTGAATTGTTATTTCAATTTCCCTTTTTAAAAGCGCTATATGTTGAGCCATCTCAGCTAGATTTGGCATGTGACATTTTTAGCGGCAATCATTGGTCGATTTTCTAGCGTTGCCATTCGGGGAGTTGTAATGAGGCATTTTTTTGTCGCCATGTAAGTGAAATATATATATAGATTACTTTATTGGTACCCAAAAGAAAGAAAAAAATTTATTCATTTTAATTTTAGAGATTAACTTTTACACCAGAAGTTAACTTTCACTGTAATTCAGGAAACAGAATTTGATACAAATACAAAATCAGATAAATATGATAGTTGATGTTGAGGTTGGTTACAATCTGATACTTTCTATGCAAGCTTAGCTTGTTCAACAACTTAATGTAAAAGAAAGCATGGCAATTAGAAAAATAAAAAATGCTTTACGGATGTTGTGATGGAAATCACTGGGACTTCACAAAAATTCTCACCGTTAGAAAAAAAAATTCTGTTATTCGATAAATCTAGATGATAATCCAATTTCCGAATGCGGTACGAATGAAAGTAGAAATCTTTTGCAATGTAAGCAACAACAAAAAAATTGAAAACTATATGACCTATTTCATTTAAATTGCATTCAATATCCCATATTTTAACTCTTTCACTGCTGCGGACAAGATAATTCGTCTCCCAAGAATATTCGCTGTGAGCTTTTGTTGTATCAGTGAGTATTGTTATTGATTGCAATTAATCAACTAAATAAACAGATTATAAAGAAAGTTGCGTTTTATTTCAATTTTAGAGCTGCTAAGGGAAACTCTCAGCGCAGAGACTGAAGCAAATGCCATTGCCACGATGGAAGTGTTAAATATATTTAGAAAATTTTATACCTTGCAAATGGATGACTCTGCAAGTGACGCCATCGTAGGTAAATCGTGACATTCGTCAATTCAGAAGCCAATCAGGTTTAGCACACGTACGTGAAGTCGCTTACAGGTATCCAAATAAATCTGATTTAAATCACATGGTTATGCATAATCACTTCACTTTTAGAGTTGCAAGTGCCCAATGGGATACTTGTACGGAAAGTTGTGTGGGTAGCTCAATCCTGATTAATTACTGAAACGGGAATTTGTTTACGTTACGTTAGCAGTTGTTCTTTTCATTCTATTTCGAGTAAGCCAAGCCTGCCTAGTTTCAATTCTCTTAAGTGACTTCTATATTCTTTCACAAAGATTTCAATTATTTTACTATATATTTCTTACTTAACACAAAGACAGCCATGTATGCATCTAAATTGCTGGGTACACAAACAAAAATATATCATAGTTACAATAAAATACTTAAGCAAATAATAATTCTTAAGCAAAGTAAAAGATGTAGACGAGAAAGAATTATATTTCAACGAATTCGATGTCGATACAGCGCTGTATTTAATTTACTTCACGTTAATTAGCATTCTAACTTATGTGGAGAAACTTAGCTCAAATTTAACACGCCATTTTGTTATATAAACGATTAATTGGTGCTGACTTCCATGGTCACATGTGTGGGTATCCACGGTTCCTTCTTCTTAAAGTGCAAATAGCCAATTCCAAAACATTTTGATCATTATTAAATTTCAAAATTACAAAAAAAAAATTCTTTCTGGATTATTTTTATTGGCGATCGAAACAGGTGATAGATGGCACACAGCGGAACTCTCTAGTTATGGCAACACTTCTCGTGTTTTCATCCTCAGCGTGTGGATAGTCATAGGAGAAGAAAGTACATTGGTTTCGTCTTAATTAAAAAATTTTAAGAATTTTTTGATTAAGATGAAACTAATTTAAGAACAGATTAGTTTCGTCTTTAAGACGAACATATTTTAGGAGCAGACTAAAAAAATTTAATTAAGAAAACTGTATGGAACTCAAAACTGCATTAAAAATAGTTCTTAAAGAAAGTATCGCGGAAATTTTAATAGAAGTGCAAATCAAATTCATTTCCAATAATGTTTATGAAACCATATTTTATTTCAGGATCATCGACATTTTAGGCTGAAGCCCACTCATAAAGCTCTTATCATCTGGCATGTTCTAGCAGTCTGGTACTACTTCAATATAGCCGTCTGTGAATCTACTTCAGTTGTGGACAAATTCCAATTGGTTGATTTGACTCACGTGTTTGATAATACAACTCTTTATTGGGTGACAGAACCATCTCTTGTCCTCAACGTCACATATAATGGAACTCTTCCAGACAAAAACATTTGGTAAGTTTTCACCTTAACTATACGATATATGTTATTTCTTTTTATCTATATTGAGAGCAGTGAAACCTAATGCTAGAATTACATTTTTTAAAGTATATGTAAAGTATGAATTTTAAAAAAATGGCGTTATATCTTGAATAACTTTTCACTTAACAATTGGATTTTACATACTAAGATGATAGCTTTGTTCGAAGGCAAAATGCATAAAAAAATATCGATTACTTCTTATTTTACGAAGATTCCACAGGCGATCACAGACCATCTCTTCCATAAACATATATCCTGGAAATATATATCTATTTTATCCGCATGCTCTGTTTTGGTAGCCAGACGACCTGCACGCGAAGTTGAGCACTTTACGGTAGAACAGTTTAACGGGAACTGATGCACTTATTCCCTACGCAGGCTGATCAAAGTGGTCATCCATCCGCTTTCTTAACGCATCCAGGGATGCTTGTCTTCGGTGTTCTACTGGGAACCGTGTCTTAGCGTTCAGTCCACTTCGGGACAAATTTCACCGATAAATTGAAATTATATGAATTACTATCCTCATGTGGCAACCAGGTGGTTCCGTATTACGAACGAACCGCTTCGCAGTTTTACAGCTACATTGTCCTTCATATTCATGAATTCAACGCTTGCACCGTACTTTCGACAGCATTGCTCTGACTTCTCAGCATTAGTATTTCAGTGTAATAAGATAAGACGGTGGCTGTTCGGTCCACCTGCATGAACTCTCCACTTCGTTTAATAGCACAAAAGCCGGAAACGGTTATGCTACGTCAAACACTTAGTAGTAATTGGAGGGAACATGTTATTTAGCATTAATCACTGCAATTTAGCATGTCAATTGGACTAATTAATGCGATGATTGCCTAATACTGAACCAAAGCTTTTTTTTTTAAAATTTATCCTTGCAATTTGACAAGGAACACATGAATTATTATGATTCAAATTTGAGAAATTTAATTTGATTAAAAAAATATTATTTCACACTTCTATCAGTTAAGGTGATTGTCCTTAATAATCTCAATAATTATAAAATATCGAAAGGTAACTTTTTTTTATTGTAGTAAGCCACACGGGGTCGATTTTCAGACATCTCGGTAAAAACACATTATTTAGTAATACTTTCAACTATGCTAATTACCCCAATAATTACAAAATATCGAAATGAAACTTTTTAAGTAAATCCCTTCATCCGATAAGGAACACGTAGTCGAAATATGAGACTTCTAAATTCGAGGTAAACTAAAGCGTGTTATTTAGCATTATTTTTACTTAGGCTAATTACCCAAAAAATTACGAAAAATCGAAATGAAACTATTTATTCTATTTATCTCATAAAAAACACATGTTCCAAATTTTAGTTTTTCTTATTTCATGGGAAGTGAGAGAATGACTATTGACTTAAGGAGGAATTTGCGTTTTATACTTACAGATATTTTGGTGTTCTTCTTAAAAATATAGCACTGAGTAAGTGACCCATTTTTTCAATCTATGGCTAAATTCAATCCCAGTGATTATAATTTTTTTCTTCTAAAAGGAAGGGAAGAATGTAGTAAGAATTCACTATCTCAACCCTTGAATACGCCATCTGGGAAGAAGACCGGTTCCATGTCTTGACCGTCCCCTTCCCTGTCCTCCTCTTCTCAGTTGTATAGGAATGAACTACGATATTTTTCCTTTTCTTAATATTTTTCGTATTTATTGTCAAAAATTTTTTTTAAATTTCGACGACACTTTCTTTAAGAACTATCTTCAATGTAGTATTTAGTTCCATATAGTTTTCTAATTTAAAAGTTTTAATCCTGTTGAAAATCAAGACAGAAACTAACGCACTTACTTCTCCTACGACTCTCCACGCGCTAAGGTGAAAGTTTGGGAAGTGTTGCCATAGGTAGAGAGTTTTACTCTACGCCACCTGTAGCCCATTTCGATCGCCAATATAGCGTGGAGAATATTTTGTATTCTATGCATGTCAAGATTATTGTTTAGAGAACACTTTGCAAATTATATAAATGCATTCTTTCCAGGTACCAGAAGGATCAAATATATGGTGCCACGCATGGTGGAACCCACATGGACGCTCCCTGTCACTTCGCAAAGGGACGCTGGTGCGTATCTGATATACCTCTGGAGCGACTGGTTGTCCCCGCCGTAGTAGTAGACGTAAGCCAAGAAGTCAATTCTGATTCACATTTAACGAAGGACCTGCTACTGGCATGGGAAGATATTCATGGCCAAATACCTGACAATAGTCTCCTGCTTGTCTATACCGGATGGTCAAAGTATTGGCCAGATCGTCTGAATTACACTGGAACGGAAGAAAAAAATATCTCTGCGCTAAAATTTCCTTCCATTAAGGCAGAAGCAGCGGAATGGTTAGTCGCCAAACGAAAGGTTGTTGGCGTCGGAATAGACACGATGTCGGTAGACATTCCAAATGAAAGACCGTCAACTCATGTTGCTTTGATGACGAACAATATTTATGGGCTTGAAAACGTGAATAATTTGGACCAGTTGCCACCAACCGGTGCAATGGTATACGTCATGCCGATGAAGCTCAAATCGGCAAGTGGTGCTCCATGTCGTTTACTCGCTCAAATTCCAAATGGAATGTTTAACGGTGGAAATTTTAATGGGTTACCAGGAATGAGTATATATCTGATTATTTTCATTGCTACAAGTTACTATTACAGGTTTTCCAATAGATAGTTCTAGTTATGTCTTCAAATTGTGTAAAATAGAACTTCAAGAAACGAAGATTATAAAGACTATCTTAAAAAGCTTCGATTCATATCATTTTTCTCTCTCCACAGTAAAAAGATCATAGAAATACATTGTCACATGAGCTTTGCTGACGGAGGGGCGGACATTTATACATTTTAATCTTATCTTCTTATTTGTTTTGTTAATATTTTTTGTTTTGACATTTTTTTCGGGTTTTCTTAATTAACTTTTTCCGTATTTGGTGCAGAGGTTTCTTGGGTCGATGGGAAAGGTTTTTATAGTCTCTCCTAAAGGTTTTCTCCAACACAAAGTTTGTGAAAAAAATTCTGTACCTCCCAAAAGTGGTCATAAATAGAGGTCGTTACATAGAGGTGGTCTTTCCTGGAGGTTTCACTGTACATACAACATACATTATATGTATACTTTTACGACATACATAAGTATACTTTTTTCCCGATGTAATTGAGTTCTTTACCTTCAAAACATAGGAGGAAGCCAACATCAGGAAAATGATTTCTCCTTTATTTAGACAAAAAAGCAGTCGAAAGTTTGGGCTCTCTAACAATATTTTTTGTGTACTTTGCTATATCATATCACGAGGATATTTTGTAAAAGAGATTGAAAAATTTTCAAACACTAGTATAAAATTTGTTTATCCAAGGAGTTTATCTCCTTCAAAAATAATTGTATGAATATTTATTATTAATTTACTTAATACTTTTTACATCACTTTAAAGAATGCATATTTAAATGATGAAATACAAAATTTTAACAAAATCAACCAAACAGTTTCTTAGTTATTCAATTTAAAAAAGTTTTACATTTAAAATTTGATTTCTCCAGAACTACAAGACGGCTTTGGTTCAAACTTTGTATTTTATCATTTAAAATTGCATACTTTAAAATGATTTTAAAAATTTACAAACCTTACTATTTGAAATTTTTTGGAAAAGTATTAGAAAAAGTAATCATTACAAGTTATTTTTTTAAAGGAAATCTTCAGATAAATGAATTTTATACTTTCTACTGCTATAGCTTTCTATTAATAATGTATTTTCAAAAAACAATTGTTGAATATAACCCTCCAAGAATTGAGCTACTGAGTAAAATTGAACAGAAATTTCCTTGCTACAATTGAACAGAAATGTACTCTCCAATTGAACAACATGGGGAACACAGTATTTTGATGCAGGGAAGCTTTCAGTTGAAAGTTCAGAAAAAGACAATGCTCAGAGGGTTAAACCTAACCTGTTTTTCTAGAAAAACCAATAATTGTGAATTTATACGCAGAAAAATAAACTTTCACAATGATCTATGTTTTAAAGAATTAACTTTATTAGAACATATATTTTTATATACAATAAAAATACTTAAACACAAAATGTAAAAAAAAGAAGCTTATATTTCAAACAACATTTAAAACTAGGACAGAAACAGAAATAAAAATTAAAAAAACTGAAAATTAATAAAAGCATTTAAATAACATAGAGTTTTTAAGTTTGATAATATTAATTTAATAGTAGTATATATAAATAACAATTTATCATTTATATAACAATTAGTTTTGTCATATTTCTCTTTAATTCATGTAGCTATTCTCATAAAAAATCTTTGGCAAAGTTCTTGCTTTACTTTACATATTTATTATTTTTATAAATGTACAATAATTTGTTAAAAATGATCTACTAGAACGGACACATAATCATTTTCTACACGGCTAGAAGTCATGCCATCTCTGCTTTCCAAATTTTGCCACTCTGCAGGCTCACCTGAAAAGAACATTCAACTCAGAATAAGATAAAATAATAACCTGTCTCAGCATGTTAGATGCTGTTTAAATGCTCTGGAAGCACATTAAGAGGAGGAGGTATTTGAGAATTGCTTTTTTTTGGAGAGAGGAGGGGTATAACAGGGGTGATTGTGAGTTCCAGTCAAAATTCCGGAAAATTTCTTGAGATTTAAAAAAAAAAAAAAAAAAAAACAGTTTAAATTGAAAAACATTTAAATAAGGTTTTTTTTCTCCCTTTTCTCAATATTTCTTAGTTTATTTAAAATATATTTAAAATTTTACACATACCTATGATGACCTGGAGAAGTAATTAAAATTTACAAATAATGTCCTTCTTTCTTAAGTTTATGATTATAACAACTATTAACTGATAAAAAATGAATATTAATCATGAATCTAAGCTTATAAAGTATCTCTCTGGTTCTCCCTTACAAACAAATAAAATAAACTGTGTTTTTAAGTTCCACCTTTGAAAATTTGATTTCCAGAAACTTNTTAAGTTCTACCTTTGAAAATTTGATTTCCGGAAACTTCTGTGATCAATGATTTTTTGAAACGTCTGGTCCTTTGATCTTCGGAAGCTTCCGGATCACTGTCAACGAAAAATCCGGAAATCCGCACTTTTTCCGGAGCACAATCAGCCCTGGGTATAAGCAATTGTTAGGTAAGACATTAAGATCCTCTTGTTTTCAAAATTTTTTAAAAAATAAAAATATAAGAAAAAATAACAGGTGTGTGATGCCATGATAGCCATTACCTATTTCCTAGGTTTTAAAAAACAACAGAAGAAAAGCAGGTTATTTCTTACCATTTGCAGTATCACTTGATTTTAGAGCAAAAGACCAACTATCTGGACTTATTGAGGCACAATGGGGCAGCCTTAATTCAATTGGAATATTGAATTTAAGACCGTGTGGACCGCACATCACTAAGGGGCTCAGTAAAGTCTCTCCTGAAAATAAATAAATATATTTGATATTCGAATGAAATAAAATTAGTATTAAATTTTAATATAAAAACTTGCAAATGAACCTACATTTTAATTATCACACAGTAATCATTTTAATTATCATAAAGAGAACGACACGGAGAAAGGTTCTAGAAAAAGCTAAGGCCCACTTCAGGTTGTGATGATACATTACAAAATTTACTATAATGAATTAAAAAAATTTATAGTGCTAAGCAGAAAGACCAAAATTTTTTGATGGGAAACTTATTTGAAGTTCTCTTTGTCTTTAGATTGTTAAAACCACCACCTTTCAGAAGCAAGAAGATGTTTATTTTGAGTACTATTTATTGTTCTTTAAAAAAGTTTGAAGAAGGGGAAAAAATACTCCATTTTTTTCTTATATTTCTTATATCAGTGTAAACGGCTGGGAGTGTTGGGATACATCTTATCGAAACATCTGAACAGAATGAAAAACAACACTTGCATCAGAAGCTTAGCAAAAACATAACTAAAGTATTTAATTTCTTTTCCTAACACAATTCCAACACCTCGAATAGCAAAAAGCTCACTAGCTAGAAACGGTGTCAGCTCTCTGCATATTAGCTCCACACACTAGTTACATTACTAGGAATCTAGCAGAGGCATGTTCTGAAAAGTAGGCAGGGAAGTAAAGTAACAATACAGTGAAGCAGGAACAAGAGAACTCCACAAGTGACCATTGTATTCATAAAACTAAATAAACTGCAAACCGAAACTTGTATTAATATTAACTGCAAAAATTTTATAAAAATGAACAACAAAAATTGTATTAAAAGAAACTGAAAACCATTCATGTCAAACTTTCAAGACATGCACATTACTCAATATTAGAAAGCATAGCAATCTAAGACTCTTCCATTTAGGGACATACGGAAAGTACCAATAGGATAATCTGGAACATAAATAAAACATAAACATTAGTAGAGTGGCGGAGTTGATGTCAATCCAAGAAATGCAACGCCATTTTTTTCTTTTTTATTTACTTTATCACTTACTTTATCACTCTTGCAATTAAAATATTTCAGGTTTTATTTAAACAGATAAATTGTTTTGAGATTTGGACTACCTGCATTATTACTATTTCAACTGTTTATTTCGTCAAAAATTTCTGGATTATTCTGAATATTCTAATTCTATTGACGTCACTAGCCCTTTTAGTCACTATACTTAAAAAACTTTTTTTAATGTCTGAAAATAAGAATGTGTCATGACTTTATACAGAATAACCTATAAACCCTGCTATAATGAAAACATGGTAGTAATGAACAAATGAACATTTCTAATAATTCCGACTGAACTGTTATTTAATGATTGGTATTTCATATGCTTAAGTGAATTATTAAGGCATCGGTAAATTGTTTATAGTAGACTCAAATCCCCATTTTGTAGGCATTTAAATATATATAACAAAATTTTTAGTCAATATAAATACAATAATGTATGAATGATACAATGGAACTATATCCAGGTGGTATAACATATGTGTTTTCAAAAGTAAAAGTATATTCTTCAAAAATATCGAAAACAAAAAAGACAAAAATTAAAGAAATTCCAAAAAAGACAAATTGAAAAATGAACATTTAAAAAAAATTGTAATAGAGAGACAAGCACTTTGTTGTTGGGAGATTATTTTGAGTACTACTTAATGTTCTAATTCAAAAATCTTTTCAAGAGGAAATTGGCTGTAAGGAGACTATGTTGTAGAGAGATTCAATATATCGCATTAATTAAGAATTTATAACATATTATGTACTGTTGCAATCACTTTTTCCAACAATGCTAAAAATATTTTTTTTATATATTTTGGATATAGTGAAGTATAGTGTATAGTGAACTCATTGCTAGGCCCACAAACCGTTCACTATAGCTGGGTTAGAGTAAATATCCTTGATTTCTGTTTACATTTTGAGTCAAAGTTTCATTCTTACAGAACAAAAGCTATAGAGAGGTAACTAAAACTGCATTAAAAAAATACCTTTGTCCTTGTCAAGTGGTGGCAACATATTAGGATCCTGGCACACTTTAAAATATATTTCATGCCTTTCTCCCTCTGATATGGCGCCAGGTGGTATGAGGATTGTGACACCTGTTTCCCTAGATGTCAGGGTGCCTCCTTCATATCCAAACACTCCCTGTGCAGATGCTATAACGCTATGTCCATCCTCTGTATCCTCATATTTTTTCCTGAAAAACATTACCAAATATAGTAGACAATTTAATACAAAAAAAAAAACAGTGATAACAAACATAATTCAAAAATCATTTACACATAAACATGTTGTGTGTTCCGTGAGGACTAAATGACAACACTTAATAGTCAATTTTTACAAAGATATTGAACAAAAATATGCACGTTAGGGGTTACAAAGTAATATTTAAAAAGAAAAAAAAAAAAAACACTTTGAAACTCTGAAAAATCATTATTGAAGTGAATAAAGAAGGGTTTTAAAATTAAATAATTTGAAGATCAAGCTTAACAGAACTAGGAAGAAACTTTTTCTGTCAATTTTAGTTTCACCTGCATTGATATTTTAAAACTAGAAGTTCATAGTAAAAAGATTTCCTGTAAACCTTTAGATCGAAAAACACAAAGCATAAAATGTTGAAAAATATTTTCAAAAGTATCAAAATGCAAACAAATTATTGCAGGATTACTTCCCCATTAATCCTGCAATTTATTGTTTACACTTTGACATTATGAAAAAAAAATTAGCAATAGTAAATTAAAGTCGGTTTTTCTGAACAGAATCGGCTCTTTAGAAGGAACAGTTGAAGTTTCTTTCATCTTATACCCAATTGTGATGATACTTAAGGGTAGTGGTAAAAATAAAAATTAATTAACACTTAAGTCATATAACTGAAACAAAACTGAAAAGCTTATCATATATTAAAATATATTTCATAAAGCTACCTTAGACCATTTTGATCTTGATGCAAACCATCTGACTTTTTATACAGCTCAAAAGCGCTCCCCCTGTTCTCTCGAGCGGAGAGGTCTAGATTGAGTGGAGGTGAGGGAGAAATTTGGGGTCCATTCTTCTGATTGAACATAACATTGCTGTAAGGACGATTAGGATAAGTGCACATGTTTTCTTGACTATAAGAGTGTGCCATGGCAGCATCGGGTGGAATGTCTGCAAGATTATCTTGGAATTGTTTATAAAAAGATGGATCTTTCCTCTTGGGAGGAGGAGGAGGTTTAGAAGGAGATGTGGGATAAGATCTAGAATGATATGGTGAGAGAGGAGTGTGTCCATTTTCTTGAGGGAGGTTGGGTTTGAGAGGAATTTCTGGGGGTCTGCTGGAATCTGCTGTCCAATGTTTACTCTGCAGAAGAGATGGTTTAGGTGGTGGCACAGGTCGTCCATCAGAAAGTCTGAAAAAGCAAATGTTAAAAATAAATCATAAAGAATTAATTTTCGGAAAGCAAAGCGAATAGCAAAAGAATGTGCCCCTTCAAAAGATTAAGTATACACTTAATTATCAAAAAATAGGGTTAAAAAAAGCTATGCAAAAATAATAAAATATCCTACAAATTATTCTTAAAAAATCCTTTAAATTATGCTATATAATCCTTTCTAAAAAATCCCGCAAATTATTCCTCTAAAAATGTAATATAATGAATTTAAAGTAGTAAAGTCATTATAATTCGAACACAACTATAAAATACGTATTTAAAGTGTTTGACTGTTAAAGGCCAGTATACAAAATTTGCAATCGAAATTTAAATCCAGTGCCAGTTTTCACATGCATGCATGTAATTGGGTTCGATAAAAATATTAATTCAAACATTCAAGTTGAATTTAGCTTAATATGGTTGCATAAGCCAGAACACAAATAATTATTTATCTTGAAATTAATCCTTGATTGGGTTTAAGAGGCAAGCAGTCAGGTGTGTCCTTTGATAGAAGTTAAAAAACCTTATGTATACATTTTCTTTCTATACAGCAAAAGTGCAATTTTAATGCATTCAGAGCTTATTGTGTGTGTATATACACACAAGAAAATTCCCTACTTGTGTAATCACTCCATAGGAGTTATAACTTTTTATGCATTTGTAAACATTTGATTGTAAAACCACATGGTTTTTAAAATACAACAATTTAAAGTTACTTATAACTATATTTTTAGGCCATGAAAATTTAGGTCTAATAAACTTTTAATTTCTAAGAAAGAATTCTCACTCCTAGACTATTTATATTTTTTAATTACACTGTATATTTTTATTTATTAGTAGTCATATTTAACTACATAGTTTTATTTGTTGCACTGAAATTATCCCATAATATTACTTGAATAGCAGTGATAAATTATTTTTAGTATAATTAAAAAATAATATCACTACCTTCTGTCTCAATTATAATACACATTTTCAAATTCTAAAACTAAAGCATAATTAATAGAATAATTTCATACCTAGTTTTTGTAGACTTTACTGGGGGTGGTGGAGGGGGTGGTTTAATGTCATGTCTAAAAAAAAGTAATAAAGTTATAAAAATTTATAACAATTATTTATTTAATAAATAAACAAAAAAAAAGAAGAAATACATAAAACATAAATCTCTGAAAGAGGCTGATCCAGTACAGGTGAGAGAGATATTTAATACTTATAAGTAGCAAAAATAAAGTTTTTTAGGGTTTTTGACAAAGATAGTAAATTGCTTAGTTATTTAAAAAAAAATTTTGTAACCCTAATTATTGAATTTTTTTTTCAGTAAAGGTCAAGGAATTATATAGTGTGGCACAGCTAAAACTTCTTTTTCTAAAGTGATATATCCAACATTTTTAACTTTAGATATGGCAAAACTAAAATGTTTTCTCTTTTTTCTGTTCATTTGACATGAGGTAGCTTTTAAAAATTTTTTTTATCTTCATTTCAGGAAAATCCTAAAAATATATTGGCAATCGAAATGTGCTAAAGTGACAGAGAGCTGAACTCTCTATTTATGGCAACACTTTACATGCTTTCACTATTAGAGTGTGGGCAGTCATAGGAGAAGGAAATATGTTAATTTCTGTTTTAATTTTCAAACAGATTTAAATTATTTTTAAGTTAAGAAATTATATGGAAAATTAAACTGCATTAAACATAGCTCTTAAAAAATGCCTTGTAGAAATTTTAGAAAATACTTTTTTGAACTAACTGCAAAAAATATCACGGAAGGAGAAAATATCGTAGTTCATTCCCATACAACTGAGAAGAAGGAAAGGAGGAGGCTATAAACATGGAACTGGTCTTTCCCTTATATGGTGTATTCGAGCATTGAAAATATCAAAAATGGTTATTTTAAAACACTATGTACATATTACTCAGAGCATTCGTACATAACTAAATTTACCACTAGCATAAAGAAAATCTATGGTACCTATTTTTCATTTGTGAAAATTTCACACGATCTAAAGTCATGGACTGATATGGGATGGAAGGATTGGGTTGAATTCTTGGAGAGATAGACTCAAAGTCTCGAACTGAAAACTGAGACGAAGTGTATGGAGGGCTGTTCGGTACTGCAGGAGATTCATCAGGGTATGATGGCCCATTGCTAAAGATCTAAAAGTAAATGAAGTTTAAATGATTAGTAACACTAATCTAAATCAGTGACGTAAGCAGGAATTTTTCACAGCGGTGTCAAAACTAAATATATATAAATGATAGATTTCAGAATTGGGAAAATTTGGCTACTAGTTAGTGGCAAGTTGTAATATTATTAACTGTGGTTTTTTTTTAAAAAACATGTGGACACTTTTCAAAAAATTTCACTTTTTTAACAATTAAAAAAACTGTTGATGTAAGATATTTATTTTGAAACATTTGTCTCCAATCAACTCATAGGTATTTTAAGATAAATAATAATAATAATAAATATGAAACTATTATGAATATTTTATAATATTAAAAAAATTACTTTATTTCACACATGTTTTTAAATGTTTCTTTATTTTTGAAATGAACCTTGTTAATGTTTACTGTATTTTGAGAAATCAGGGGTCTGTCTAGGTTTTTCTGAGAGGTACCTATTTTGTGAAAATTTAGACATAATTTGAGAAAATTAAAAATTATAATAAGAAACTAACACAAAAATGTGGTAAAAATACGGATTTATCGTTTCTTATGGGATAAAAAAATAAAATTTTAAGAAAAAGTATTTTGTGAAACTACCGTTTTTCCTAAATTTGAGTTTGTGAAAGGTACCGCTAAACGGTAGTAAACTTGGCCTGGACAGACCCCTGAAAATGCTTCAAAAAACTGTCTTACATTAATAATACCAACAGTTCTTTAATTTGTTTAAATTTTTTAAACTTATGAAAATGTAGCCACATGCTTTAAAAAGAGACCACTGTTAAAAAAACTGCAACTGGACACTGACCATTAAAAAAATTTCCTAATGGTGTTCTCTACCATTGAGAGCAAATATTTAATCTATTTGATACTTACTCATAACAAATTCAATATCTTATAGCATACCGAATATTAGTACTTAACTAAATTTAAATTAATGAAACTTTTGAGCAAAGATTAAAAGCAGCAGTCACTTACAGTTCTATCTTGAACAGGAGGTAAAATGTCAAAATTTTCCATTGTGTTGATATAATCGTGTGGAACATTCATGTTGACATCAGGAAGATTTGAAGCTGAAAAAGATACATAATTTGATACACAACTTAAAACAATTAAAATATCATTAAAATAAATGCTTTTGAAGCATGTAGGTACATAATGACTTACGGTAGCTATTGGGATCATAGTTAACGCTAGGCTTGCTAGTTCTATCGATTTGAGGAGGTCGAGGATTTAAGCTGCGGGGGCCAGTTTCATACATATCTGTAAGAGAAAAAGCTAAAATTAACTATACAAGAACTTCTATCATGATTTTTTTTTTTTTTAAAATCTAAAATAAAGAGGAAAGTCAGCATTATTACCATTTAGCATTTGCACAAATAGGTAACTCATTTACAAATAAACAACTCATTTTATTTTAATACTCTCACTAAAAAAAAATACATTTGCTGTAAGGAGAAAAATTGTAGTGAAAATACATTTACTATGAGGAGAAAAATGGCAGTAAAAATACATTTGCTGTAAGGAGAAAAATGCTAGTAAAAATACATTTACTGTGAGGAGAAAAATGGTAGTAAAAAAACATTTACTGTGAGGAGAAAAAGGGTAGTTAAAATAAATTTACTGTGAGGAGAAAAATGGTAGTAAAAATACAATTGCTGTAAGGAGAAAAATGGTAGTAAAAATACATTTACAGTGAGGAGAAACATAAGAGTAAAATTATATTTTTTCATAAGAAAAAATATGGAAGTATACTACATTTTCTATGAGGAGAAACATATATTAATGGAAATTCATTTACTGGGAAAAGAAAAATGGAAGTAAAATACATCTTTTATAAGTTTAAACATAGTATAATTATATTTACTGTGAGGTGAAACATAGAAGAAAAATACAATTTTTTTTTAAATAAAAAGTAGACTTTCGGCAGGCTGATTATTATTTTTTTTCTTTGCACTAAAAAAATACTGTCAAAATAGCCAGTTAAAATTAAATAAGAGGTTTTCTAATAACGAAGAAGACTAGTTGGCCGTGTGTAAGGACTATTCACACAAATTACAAATCTAAAGTTAACTTCCCACTTATTTCTGATCAGGTGTTTATGTAATAATGATTATCAATAAAAAGTTAAAATGCAACAATAATTAGAGACACAGAATTTGTTTTTCTAGGGTTGTTATGCCACTTAATTCTGTAAATACTTAGAATTTTATGAAATTTTATCCAAAATTTTTTTTTTAAATAAAAATCTATAAGGAAACAATTAGATAAACAATATGTTATCCAGGGTTGACGTATCCAAATCTATGATTAATTGGGAATTTATGAAATAATATTTTTCTTTGCATCTATATTTTAAGAAAATATTAAGAGACAACAACAATTAGAGACACTCAATTTACTTATATATGTTTGACTCCACACCAACTATAAATCAGGAGTTCATGCAATAATACTTTTGTGCCATGTTCTCTAATAACATGTCATAAGGCAAAAATTTGATACTTGAGAATGTATTTTATATATTCTTTTTGTTGTATTCACATGATTGTAGTCATGTCAATTACACTTTCAGCCATTTTGGACCCTAATGTCATATTTTAACCACTTCCTATTTTAACATGTTTGTCAAGTTAATACTTACTTTTTAATTCATTGCTAATTTGGTTGGCAACTCTCTCACTGGGTGTCAAAGTGGCATAAGGGTCAATTCTTGTTCTTTGTTGTTGGACCCCATAAGTTCCATTGTTGCTATTACTTTTAGAAAGGTGCTGCATGTATTCTTCTTGCTCAACTGGTAGTACTGATAATAAAACAAAAACAGACAATCAACAGTACAACTATGCACATTACTTTAAATAAGTTAAATACAATTACACATACTTAAATACACAATACAATACACATACTTAAATACAAAAAAAATCATAATATTGATTGTAAAAATGTAAAATATATAAAAAGTAAGATCAGTATTTGATAAAATGAATATATTTATGTAATTTAGTAAAAAAAAATTCTAATTAAGTGTTTTTATATATACCAAATAAGTAAAATATAAATTAATCTTTCATTTAACATATCTTTTAAATTTACTCATGTTAAAAAAAATTTTATAAATAATTTTTTTTAATGAAATATATACTTAGTTTAAAAATTTTAGATATAGCTTGAATATTTACAGTTTTTTTGTAGAAAAATAAAATTGGTGAACATTATTGTGAATTACTGATTACAAATATTTGGTACAAAAGCAGTCACTCAACCTCAAATAATGGATAAAAAAAATAATAAAATAATTAAATTCATAAAATTTGTATTAATTCAATAACAGCAGCTATTAATAGACAATTATAAAAATTTATGGCAAAAAATATACATATGTACTATTATTCGAATTAAAATTTATTATTTCTGTAGTATGCCAGTCACGAGACTAGGCTCATTTTGTAACTGCCAGACAGTAAATTATATTTGTATACAAACAAATTATAAATGCACAAATATAAGTTTCAAAAAATGAAATACATTTTAATGATCATATAAATCAAAATGCTTTAAGCAAGTGGCAAGCAAACTAAATGTGTATAATCTGGATTAAAGCATACGAAGAAAAAAAAAATCCTAAATAATATAACCAATATGGAAACAATATTTATGCATAAACAAAATATCACCTCAATGTCCCCCATTTTTTTACCTTTTGCTGGAACTGTAAGCATATCATTGGCATTTTTGAAGACAGACTGAAGTGGTATAGCAGTTTCCTGTTCAAAATAAAACAAAGTTATAAGTTTATAAACAAGTTAAATTGCATTACACCATCTATTCATAGCAATTCAATTAAATAATAAATTATAATTATCAACAAATTTCAATTCAAACAAACAATGAATATAATATTGCAACATTGCTGCATAACCTAAATTACTAATACTGATAATAAATGGCTTTAAAACAGATTTGCATCATTAAAATATTGTATTACATATATCATTGAAATAGAGTACAAAATACTTATAAATTATTAATAATTCCAAGAAGAAAAAAAAAGTTTTTATACTCTGTTGTAAGTTAAAAAAAAAGACCATTGTGGCATAAGTTGCAGAGGATTTAAGTAATCCACTGCGACTGAATATTGTTCCATTTTATTTCATTACCAAATTATAGAAATATGATTTGAAAATAATATAAAAGCTTTTAAAAGTTAAACACGTCAGATAGAAATTTAACTTGTGCTATCTTTTAGGATATATAGCACAGAATTATTAGAAAAAGTTATAGTTTCATAGTTCTATTGTAATCCTAAACTTGGCGACATATTTCAATAAATAAGGACAATATTAATTCTTGAAAACGAAACAATTCTATGACCTTGCAAGAACATTGGATTTGATTGAACTACTAAAAATGGCACTTTTTATGCTGACATGCCCTTAAGAAATCTAATGTGAGATGAATTCTTACTCTTGTTTCACTGAAAATCGTCTGAAAGAAACAATATTTATTATTCTTTCATTAGTTTGTTTAAATGTAAACAAAAGACCTATGTCGGTTACAATTTTTTGCTGTAATTTTTACTAATTCTTATTACTTGCTAGGTGATTTTTTACTAAGTTTTGTTTTCTCATTTCATACTATTCAATAAAGCAAGCAAAAAGAAGGCTCTGCAAAGTGGTTTCAAAAGTTAACGATGTTGACATTTGTCCACGCTGGGAGCTTGACATCCATTTGTCGTGCAATCAGATGCAAACAGACTGTTTATACAGGGATAATGTTTTTGTTTATTTTAAAAAAAACTTGCAACAGAGTGTAGAATATGTAGAGTATAGAAAATTTAATAAAAGATTAGTTTCAAGTTTAATATCAAAACAAAAAGAAATATTTAACAAAAAGAAATATTCAGATCAAGAGAACAAAACATTTTGAAATAACATTTCTATGGTTAAATTTTTCATAAAAAAAGGCACTTTCATATGAGATGTTAGTCAATTGTTACATTAGTTATTTTGAAACAAAAAAAAAAGAAATTGAAAGGAAAATATAAATGTCACTTACCCTTCTAAAGATGTAGAACGGGTAGAGAAGCTACCAAGGAAAGGAAAGGAAAGAAAAGTAAGAATAAAGGTACCATCACCAGAGAATTAATAAATTAATATTCTAAGTTAGTCCAAGAAAAGTTAATTATATGAAATAAATATATATAGATACATCATTATTAGAGGATGTTAAAAAAATTTTTCTAGAAATATTAAAAGAACTTTTTGAAAAGACATTCCGGCAATCCATGGATCATGAAGTGTTTTGCCACACACAGATATTTTTTTATCCTGAAACCACTCTTAAACTTCCCACTCGATTGCAGAAATAAAATTCCTTGACTTACCCAAGTTTTGCAGGAAAATTTCGACCAACTTCCAGATTACAATTTCGTTATGCACACCAATATTTCATTAAAAAAATTGTCTTTCATTAAATGAACAAAATATGTTTACTGTTATTTGCTGTGAAAAAAAATTCAAAGTGAAGGTTTAAAAAATAAATTTTACTATATAAATTACTATATGTAAACCTGTTTCTGTACCAGTTGGAAAAATAGAAAATAATCAGTAAATAGGTAGCGTTCAACATCACAAGATCATACACAAAACAGAAAGGCATGTAACAACCCAACTAATTAAACTAAAACATATCCATTTTTTAATTATTATTTACGGCCTTTTCCTGTTTTTGTTACGTTTTTAGATTAAGAGTGCATTTTATAATCTTCATGATCATGGGGAGTGATAATTACTGAGTGTAAAAAATTGGCTCTACTCTTTTACTATGGCCTTGAAAATTACTGAACTTACTAAATAATATAATTTACATTAGGCAAGTGGGCTTTACAGTAAGCTATGCCAAATTCATAAGAATTTGATTTGTCAACTCCAAAGGATTTGATTAAATTTTTTTCCTTCAAAAAGTAAGATAGCTAAATAAATCTGGTTTTGAAGTTTAATCAATAACAAAAAAAAAATAATTAATGAAATATATAAATGAAAAATTTATAATTGTATATTATTTGAAGAGAAAAGCATGCATTTGTTTCTGAAGCTGCAAAATTGTCTTCAATTTTAATTTAACAGCTGCAACATCAAAAGTAATTTTCTCACAAATAAATGAAATAAAAAATAAACAGTTATTTCATATTATATAACATTAAGATGTCTTTATGAAGCAAGTATCTGTTCATACTTTCCGATAGTCAAGAAAATTAAATCGATTTTTTAAGCTAAAATCAGAAAAACATCTCTAGATCTTTTAATTGCTTACTTGATGGTGATGACTACTTCTTCCCAGTGTATATGAAGGATATCGATTGTATGATTTAGCATCAGCTAATTCCTCTGCTGCAGTTATGCTTGGGTCGCTGGATGATTTCACCAACCTCCGATCTTTTTGTTCATTCGGCTCCCTGAAGCTGGATGTGCGTGCTTCCATCGAGATATCTAAATCACTTTCAGGTGACGAGGCATAGCTCAAACGGGAAGTCATCGGAAATAAGAAATCATCAGTAATTGCTTCATCAGGCTGTAAATATTAATATTATAACAATTTATGTTATGTGCTTCATGAATTTGCATATACAATGTACAAAATCCGTATATACCCGATAACAGAATTCATAAAGTAAAACTGCAGCAACAACACAACAACAACTATCTTTATAAATCTGAAATTGAGTTTGACCCTAACACAGGCAAAGATCATTATTATAAGTATTCAGCTTAATTAAACTTAGAAAAATTAGTAAAGATATTAAAAATTTATATACAAAAAACTGTTGGGTAAACTTGTTTTAAATGAACAGAGGCAATAAAAAATTGAAATAAATCCTTACACAGTAGAAAACTAATAAACTTTCAGAAAAAATTTATTGGTTAGTTTCTGTTCTTTGCAGTGTTCTCTCTACTCAGTTTTATAATTTTGATTAGAAGCATGTTAAGGGCTGTTTTAGAAAAGTGTCTCAGCAATTTTTTATTTATTGTTTTCATTATTAGAGATTTAAAAAAATAATTTGCCTGTCCAGTGTAATCCGCAGTGCCTGCTGTTCTACAGGAGAATTTCTGCTACTGGGCATGTATACATCACCCATATAAACATCATCCGCACATACAATATCATAGCAATTCATGCAAATACTGTATATCATGAATCATACTGTGTACACAATATATGATATTTAATGATAATAAATCCCGAATCACTGTGCATAATAATTTATATCAATATATCATGATTCAGACTGTATAATATTGTAACAACTTGAGAAAGTATATTATGAATCTGTATATACATCATGGCAATTCATGGTAACGCATTATTAATCATACTGTGTACACAATATCATTATAATTTACACTAATACATCATGATTCATATTGTATAACACTGCAATAATTTATGTTAGTATATTATGAATCATACTATATCAACAATAAAAAAATTATTACTAATACATCATGAATCATATTGTTAATACAACATAACGTCAATTCATGTTAGTGTATCATGAACCATGCTGTATATGCAATTTCATAATGATTAATGATGCTACATCATGAATCATACTGTTTATACGATATTATAACAATGGACAACTAGTCAAATTTTCCTATTGTGATGGAACTAAATTAACTGTTAACTTTGCTTAAAGCCAAAATATAAATATTTTCCTCATAAAAGTCACTTCTTTACTCAGAATAAAAACAAAAACCAGTTCTGAAGCAAAGGAAGTGGTTTTTTCTTTCCTAATAAATACATAAAGCAAAGCTTGTTACTTAATAGAACTGGTTGAACAACTTTTGTTGCTTAAAAGATTGCTTTACTTATGAGGCAATCATAAACATCAAACCAAAACAGTTAAGATGATCTGCCTCATTCGCATTTATGTAGGTATAACATGAATCATAATATATGAACAATATCATAATCAACGATATATATTATGAATCATACTATACAATAATATTACATTTCATTTAATTATTATCAGAAACCCTTCTATAAATAGTGCATAATAAATAGATTGCTATAAAAGTTCATGAAATGTATCACAAATTGCACTATATACACAATATCATAAGAATTCATGTAAATATATCAAGAATCTTCCAATGACGTCTAATTTAATTATTAGTTAATTTTCATTATGTAGTACAGTTATATATTTAGTATTGTTTGGTTAAGGTGATACCAATCTTAATATATACTACCCTACAATAATGGAAGAAACACTCACAGTTTTTAAATTTCTCAAGAAATACTAAAAGGATTATTTTATAACTTTAGAGGTGTTTAGGTCATGTGATTTCTCATATTTATCATAAAAATTTAAAGCTTTTGGAGATTTGAGAGATCAGTAATAAATCATGAACAAAAACAAAAAACTTTTTAAATTTTCAAGATATCATATCTTTTCATATGCTACTAAATATAATTTAATACAAAATTATTAAAAAAAAATTTTTTTTTTACTTTTTCCCAGGGTTGGCAGGTTTTTGACATGTGACAGTTTTTGACAGTTTAAACCATGGTTTAAACCGTCACGTCAAAAACCTCACTGTCAAAAATGTCGAAAATGTCAAAAACCTATATTCATATGTGAAATTTAATTAATACATAAAATTTATATATTTTTTANAACCAAACAGGCCGCTTTTCTTTTGCTCTTGTCTTCAGCAGTCAATTCGTGAGGCACCCAGCGGTTAAACTTAAATGTTAGATTTATGCGTTTGAGGGCATTTACTATTGTTTTTTGGTAAACGTCAAGCTCTAATGCAATGGTTCGTGTTGAAACATTTCTCTCTTGATCAATAATTTGCTTCAATTGGTCACAATCAACCTCAATAGGGCGGCCAGAGTGTGGTTCATCTTCAATGTTGAAATTCCCATTATTAAACTTTCGAAACCAAACTTTTACTGTATCATAAGAAACAGTATTGAAACCTAAACTTTCACACATTTTCTTGTGGCATTCAGTTACACTGAGTTTATTTCGGAACTCATAGTACATAATCGTTCTGATCTGCTTACGTGATAGCTCCATTTCAAACACTTTTCTGGTGCACAAGATGATAAAGTTTTGACAAACAAATTACATACTTGTGTAGTTCCAAATTTCAGCTTTAAAATGCAAAAGCCTGTTTCAGAAAAGGGTAACTACCAAGGGAACGGCTGCTGCTGACACAGAGGTATCTTGCCTTGGCGGAAAACTTTTTACTCAACCCGATATCATAAGAATTAATGTAAATATATCAAGAATCTTCCAATGTCTAATTTAATTATTTGTTAATTTTCATGATGTAGTACAGTTATACATTTAGTATTGTTCAGTTAAGGTGATACCAATCTTAATATATACTACCCTACAATAGTGGAAGAAACACTCACAGTTTCTAAATTTCTCAAGAAATACTAAAAGGATTATTTTATAACTTTAGAGGTGTTTAGGTCATATGATTTCTTATATTTGTAATTAAAATTTAAAGCTTTTGGAGATTTGAGAGACTAGCAATAAATTATGAACAAAAACAAAAAACTTTTTAAATTTTCAAGATAATCAAAAGCAGATCATTTTCATATGCTACTAAATATAATTCAATAAAAAATTATTAAAATTTGTTTCTTAATTTTTTTCCACTCCTCATTAGTTTGAAAGAACTACTTTCAATGCTTACATCTGGTGCAATTTTCAACAAATTTCTTTCAAATTTCAAAATAATAATTTCGCTAAATTGCTCTAAAATTTTGTCCTAAAAATTGCTCTAAGAATTGAAAAATTGCTCTAAGAATTTTGTCCAATTTTATTGAATAGATTTAAAGTTACAGCAGAAAAATTTAAGACAAAAAAAATGTAAATGTTTTTTAAAAGTGTCCATATTTCCATAAATATTTAAGCAAAGTTTTAGAAATTATATGCAATAATTGCAAATAACAGTCAAAGTGATCAACACCAATCACAAGCTTATTGCCATATTTTCTGCCATAAAATGTTCAAAAATACATGTTTTGGTTTGCAATTGTGGGTCCTTCAAACCTCTGAAAGAAATATGAGAAATCACACAACATCATTTAGTTATAAAATAATCCTCTAAATTTTTCTTGAGAAATTTAACAAAAAAGGCCAAAAACTGAAAGTGTCTTTTCCATTACTGTAGGGTAGTGTATAATTACATATTAAATCTATAACTTAAATTAAATGAGAATATTTTATAATAATATACAGTATGCAAGAAATAAATGAAAATTAATCATACTTTAGCTTCAGACACCCATAATGGTTGTTTTTGTTGTCTATCAATTGTTTCTTGCAATTTCTTATACCAAGAATCTCCAGTAGAAAGGGAAATGGAAGCTATGATAAAATTGAAAAGAAAACAGTTATATAACATTAATAGAACAAAATATATTTTAAATTAGGTTAATATTAGTCAGCCCCTAAAACTGACAATACCTTGGACTTTAAATCTCAGTTAATTATTATTATTATTTATTTATTTATTTTTTTGTATAAAAATAATACCATTTTACCTACATTGTAAGGTACATTGAATTTTGAGTTAATAATTTTAAATATCATTCACTTTTTTTGAAAAGTATGTTCTTAATTTTAAGCTTTAATTTATAGATAAACTAAGATTTCTATAAACTATATAAAAATCTTATTTTTCGTATGAAGACACTTATGTCCCAAAACTTTATTTCATTAAATATTTTTAGATAAAACACAGCTTTTAAATTTTTAATACCAATTCCTTACAGAGAAAATGGAATTGGGTACTTGCAATTTAAGAAGAAGATTACTGATACCCACACATGTGACCTATGACGTCAGCGCAAGCTGACCCTTAACAAGCAAAATTACATGTTGAAGTTGAGCTAAGTTTCGTCACCTAAGTCAGAAAGTTAATTAAATACAATGCTGTATTGCTCATCAGATTTGATGAAACATAATTCTTTGTTGTCTACTTCAATTTAACTTAAAAACTTAAATTTATTATTTGTTTATGTATTTTATCGTAGCCGTTAAATTGTTTTGTGTACCTGACAACTTCGATGCATAATTAGTTTGCTTATGCTCTACATGGCTTTGTACCCGTTTTTGTGTTAAGTTAAAAATATATAGTAAAAGAATTGAAATCTTAGAGAAAAAATCTTTGTGTAAGAATATAGAATGTGTCACTTCAGAGAATTGATGCTTGACAGGCTTGGCTTAATCGATATAAAATGGAAAGAACAGTTGCTAACGTAAACAAATACCAAGTTTTGACAATCAATCAGGATCGAGATACCCACACTACCTCACTTGCAGGTATCCCATAGATGATTTACATGCATTTCTTATAACAAAATAAAACTGTAATTCTAAATATTATTTTAATAATATGTAGAATCATAAGAGAAATGTTTTAATGTGGGAAGCATGAGTGCCAACAAACAGAATTATTCTTACCACACACATTTCAATTAAACAATTTTAAAAAATTGTTTTGCATCAAAAAACAATCATGAGGATTGGAAAGCGGCAGCAAGCAAGGAGTTTGGCCCCTAGTGCTAATATAATTACACCATGTTGTTTAAAGTTACTTAATATAAATGATTTATTAACCTCAGAGCTGGTAAAAAGAAACATAAAATTTAAAATTTTTTCTCCATATATTGTCCATTTAACCTATGCATGAAAATTAGTTGAATAGAAAGCAGGTTATTTTTGTGCCTATTTTGTTATGATCAAAAAAGATAGTAAAAGTAGTATCTAAAACTAAACATTAATATTTTTTTTAATATATTACAGTTGCAAATAGCTCTTTATCTTATTAGGTATCAATAAATAATATATATAAAAAACAAAAGGTATGATATTTTAGATTTTAGTCTTTTGAATTAAGTTTGAGATCTCTCTGGTTCCAACCTATTCCAAAATTTTTGGCTATAGATTCAGTATAAAATATAAAAATTTTGTTAATTTTAAATTTGAAACTCTAACTGAGCACTTAAAACAGGAAGTGAATCTTTGGATACTTCAATAAAGAAAGAGTTAAAGCATATAGTAAGCCCCTTTGGTTTCAGTTCCTGAGTTTCAGTCAATAGTATTATTAGTGCAAGTACTTCACGAACTAACTGAAACAGTCTGTTTTCCAAGCCCAGAATATATATATATCAGAGAGAGAGAGAGAGAGAGAAGTATTAGAATAATGCACAGGGAATAAAGTAAACATCCTAAAATAATAAGCAGGAGAATAACAACCTAATAAAATTTAAGTGAAAGGGAAATAAAAAACTAACCTGTAAATATGTGTGACCATAATTTTTCTAATTTGCAGGCGTGCTCATAAAGCTTTCTTGAACTCTTGTAACTAGATTTTGCCCATTTGTTCCTGAGTTCTTTAATTATGTGCTTATTCTCAGCATGCATGAAAACTACAACGGGATAGAACTGTGCATAGTTAAGACGATCCACTGCACTTGGCGTGATGTCTAAAATGGCATGTTTTCCCTAAAACAGACAGTCCATCTTAAGTAAATCAACAGAATAGATAGTTAATACAACATTAACAATACATTAAAGTGAACTGCACTTCTAATTAGTTTGCTAAAAGATGCTATAACATAATACATATTTTATTCTTACATACAAAGTTAACCTATACACATCTTGATTCATATTTCACGCATAGGATTTGAGTTTTACTCCTTAAAAACTTTACCAGGAGTGAAAATACTCTTTGTAACATTTTTGTTAAAAATGTTACTTCCTTTACTGTTGTGAAATGAAGATAATTTCTCTAAAACTCAGTCTATGGGTGTAGAGAAAGTGGCTATGTCTTTTTTCATGAATATTGGAAATGTATAGCTATTGCTCTTAAACAGTGAATAATTCTAGCTGATTTTGAAAGATGTTTTTCAACTCAAGATAGAATAAAATCCAAAAAAAAAAAAAGCTTTGGTTTAATTGGATGACCTTTCCAGATTGTTTTGTGTTTTGAACATGTAGTTAAATGATAGAAACAACAACAACAAAAAAAGAATACAAAAAATTTACCCTTCATACTTCTTAATTTTTTTTTCTTTTCTTAGAAAACTTAAACCAATTAACTCATTATGATTGAAAGAAAATATGGGATATTTTTTGGTTAAATCTTCAAGCAATTTTACTGTGCTTACTTCATTTTATTTACCCATCAGTTATAATGTAATGTGTTAAAATGGTATCAATTAATAAACATAATCACTGTTTTGAAATATACCCCTCTATTTTATTACTCATAAATAAATAGAAGCATGAAATTGCTTTCTTAAATTTTCTGCTCTAGATAGATAACACTGATTACACACATATTTGTTTAATCAGAAAACTTATTATTGAAATGCTGAAATGAAATACATACCTTATCAATGACATCTCTAATGGCACTCAAGCGAATGATCCCAGGAGATTTAAGGTTACTTTGCTCATCTTCTAACTGATTGTCAGATTCTGAAATAAAAAATATATAAACAACTATTATATGCTGAAAAACTATGTATAAGTTGTGGAAGTAAGTGTGTATAACAAAAAAGTTTGTATAATTGAATATTAAAAATTTTTCTTTATAACTCATATATTTTGCTATTTTGATAATACATGACCCATAAAAAGAATAAATTGAATATCAGTTAAATATATGAAAGTCTTCCTTAGTAAAAAAATAACTCATATGCATCAAAAAATCTTTAAAATCAATATATATTTGAGAAGAAAAAAAACTCACTAACTTTAATTATAACTCATTTTTAAAGATTTCTTTTCTCTTTTTTTTATGCTAAAGTTAAAGACAATTTTCTTACTTATCCCATTTGCTTACAAATGTTTTTTTTTCATTAACAAAAAAAAAAAAAAAAAAAGTTGTACATAGATAATTTACAAAATTAAAACTAATTGTGGTGGTAATAAATAAGTGAAACTATTATTATTCTTAATCAAAATGAAAATTTTATATCTATTAAAGACAGTATGACCCCTGATATTGTAAAAAAAACAAAGAGCATTATACAAAATTGAGCTAGCAAAACATACTGTACATAACTAAGAATCTTAAACAAAAAATCTAAAAATATCCAAGATAGAAATATAATGAAATATAATTTGTTTCAGTCTATCTATCATATTTATCTGGTTATATTTTCTGAAAAAATAAAAAAGAATGCTAGACAGAGAATAAAAATGCAATTATACATACGAGGGGATGCATAGCATCCAGGGTAGTCTTTTAGAAGCCGCTCCTTCACAACATCAGTTATTGGACCAAAAAGAACTACAGGTCTGATAAAGCCAGCTAAAAAAATCATGGATTGAATTATTTATTAATTATAAAATTATGGATTGAAATTATTTTAATTAAAAAACAAATATATAGGATGAACAAAATGAAAAAGTAAATAAAATAAACTAATGTGTATTCATTTTTTAAAAAAAATCTAATTTTAAAATTTTGGTAATTATTATTAAGGTCAGGAAAAAAAAGAGGAATTAAAATCATTATATAACGATTCACTTGTCTAGGAGGACTGGAATGCTTTTTGTTATAAATTGCTTTAAGTTTTATTGTCAAACAAACTAATTATAGATAATTTACACCCCTTTTTGCTTTTATTGACTCCAATAATGATTAGTCAGAATCAGTACTGAAAGACCACAATGCAACATATAAAGTAGGAAAATGAAATTTCTAATTGCCAGCTTGCGTGTGGGAACCAAATGTTTTTGATGCCTTTGGGTTTGGCATTCCAAAGAAGAAAATTTTGTAGTTAGGGATAAGAGATAAAGAAACTCTCCAAGTATTTAAACCAGAATCTCTTCGACGAGAAAGTAGACGTTGTGTAGACAGAGAAGGCGAAATTCAAGGTTACGTTCGTGTCACTAAAATTAGCTCATAAGTTTAATGGTAAAGAATGTTCAGTTGGATTTTAAATTTGCTCCAGATAAGATTTTTATGCTGCTCAACCAGTGATCACAATTTATGTGAGAGACACGTCAGCTGTCACAATAGACAGTTCACAGAAATTCTTTCAAAACTGGGATATTTGATGATAGATTAAGAATTTCTATTCATTGACCCTCCTCCTCAACATTGTTTGATGTTAAGCATAAAATTGTCATATATTTTTGTGGCAAAAGTAACGGTATAATAATATAACATGCTAATCATATGGACAGTTCTTTGTATCGAAAATTATAGGCATTTCTAATGTTTTAAATTTTAATACTGTTTGTATTTTAATGATATATGTGAATAACATTAGAACCATTGAAACTTTTTTTTAGCTATTATCAGTGTTTATAACACAATAAATGTGTTTTTCATTTTCTAAATTTTCGTTAATTTAGGTCAACAAAAAGTTCCTTATATTACAGTTGTGAATATTTTGAAAACAGCTTATATTTTTCATGAAAACAGAGGCGAGCAAAAATTTTAATCTGGGTAGTGCTTTAGAACTGAAATTTTACACCCTGACTTTAAAGTGCAATTTTTGTTTTTGTTTTTACAGGGTTCCAAAAATATATAAATTAATAGAACAGCTTGTATTACCATCATGCAAAAACATGCAGGATGTTCTTCATAAAACATCCCACATAAAAAATATTTGATTAAATTGATGAAAATTGATTGAATAAATTGATTAAAATTATAATGAACAAAAATAATACTTACGTTGTTTCAATACAACTCTTTCATAGGGAGGAAATCTTGTAACTGAGTCAGCTATAACAAAAATATAAAATAAGATTTAAATAATTGAAAAAAATAACAATATCGGTTTATGTTTTAATACTTGTTAAAAGACAGCTTGTAGGCACATTTCATGAAAATAAAAACAAATATTTTATTTTGGTTCAAATTGTTTTTAATATTTACACTTGAAATCCCAAACTCAGTTTACAACATTATAAAATTGAAGAAAAAAAAAACTTTTTTTAACCATATCACACTAGTATGGAGAAAATAATTCATAACAATGTGAAAATAATTTTAATTTTCTCCTACTTTGAACTTTTTTGCAAAATGAACTTCTTTTGCATAACTATGAATAGAATTGGAATAAAATTGTAGACATAATATTCATACAAGAAAAATTTGTGCTTGATTTGTTTCTGAATAACAGCTAATAAACATTGAATTAAAATAAAATTAACACACATATTTTATTCCAGTTATATTAGACTGATTAAAGTATTTTGAAAAAAAGACATACATTAAGAAGCTATCATATATAGCATATTAGAAGAAACTTACATTAAAACATAGGTTAAAAAATCTAAGATGTATACAGCAAAAACAAATTTGGCACTAAAGGTAGAAACAATTGAAGTTATATTTACAACCCTTATTAGTGTTCTAATTGGAATGGCTGGTCACACATTAAACAAAAATGCAATATTCCAATCCCTGCAGGATTCTATTCAACATTTTATTAATGGTATTGATTGGAAGTGGAACTATTGCACTGTTGCATGCAATATGTTGTATGTACTAATATAATATTGCACTGTTGTACAGTGCTTAGAAAATGAATTTTTCTTCTTTTTTTTTAGTTAATTGCAACTGCAAATATCTTTTTTTTTTATATATAATGATTGCTAACTAGTTTCAAAATGTAGACTTGTAAACAATCCTTTATAAAAGAATAGTTTAACTGATGAAAAATTGAAAACATTTTATTACAGTAGTACTTTAAATTTAAAGTAACAAATGAAAGTTACTTTATCAAAAACAGAGATTTCAGAAAAACGTAATTAACATTCAGAGTTGGAAAGTTTCTTAAAGAATTGGGGAAAGAAAAAAAAAACAGAAATCTTTATGATTGAATTCAATTATAACTTTTTAAAGAAAATAATTACCAAGAACAATATCTTCCCAATGGTCTTTACATAATGATTTAGAACGTCTTGCCCTTCGACGAAAGAAACTTCCTCGCCCACTTTCTTCGTTTTCTTTTTTAGAAGATACATTTTGAGATTGTGCTAATTCTTTGGCTCTATTGGAAAAAAATTTAGTAATTTAAGTAATAATCAGGCAACTAATTGACATTTTAAGCATTCGTCACATTTTGTTAACCAAAAATTAACAAACTAATAATTACAAAAACAATTTCATACATTTTGTACCAAATATTTAATACCCAATATAGTAAAAATTAGGCCTTTACACAAATAAGTATTTTGAAATTAATACTTTATTTCAATTGTAAATAAGAAATATTAATGTATAAATTTCCAATAAATGCAAAAAAATTTGAAAGTAATATGTGAAAGAAAAAAGTTGAAGATTTCAAATTAATGTTTAAATGAGGAAAAAAACAAAAATGTTCGAAATCTGAGAAATTACAGAACTGAAAGGTGAACGTAATAAACAACGAGACGGTGTTGGTAAAACAGAGAGAGTTTGAAAGACATCTCGAAGTTTAACCCCCTATTGAACTTTTTTTTTTGTATCATGTTCATTTTCCTGCACTGTACTTGGTCAGATTTTAGCACTTCTGTTTTTTTTCCAGCTTAAATATAAATTTGGGACTTTTCATTTAAATTTTTCATTTTCTACCTGTTTGATAAAAAATCAAAATTGCACATTGAGGGCTGCCTTAACGAAATATCATGCATTTCATATCTAATGACTAAAACTTAAAATTTCTTACTTTTATTTTAACTAATATCCCTACTAAGTATCTTAAGTAAAAACTGAAATTATGTTTTTATCTCATAAACTCATAAGTTGAAGAAAGCACAGAACTAATTAAACACATAAAATTGTTGTAAATAAGCAGAAGAAAGCAAAAAGTAATTAAAGCATTAGATATCAATAAAAAGAACATAGTTGAAAAAAATTATTTGGGAATAAAAAATAAATTTTAATTTAAGTTGTAAATAAATGGCATAGAAACTATAATATTAAGTAAAAACTAAATTTTAATGTTTCATCTTGTTACAAACTACATTGAAATCAGAGTGAATAATTTCAATTTTTAAATTTTTTTTAAAGTTTAATGTTGATTGCTTAAATTAGACTAAAAACAGAATATATATTTTAGAATATAATGAAATTGAATATATAGTAAGAAGAGCAGCACAAAAAAATTCATAATAAAAGAATAATGAAAAAGTATTTTAACGTACTGAAGTATTTTAAAGTACATAAAGTACTGAATTTATGAACCTAAAAGAGCAAAATTTGTCAGAATCTAAGGAACTGCAAAAATATTTTCAAAATAACAGTAAAGGCCATAAAAAGTATCACGATCTCTAAAAAAATACAATATGATTTCCAATATGCTAAATTTATTCAAAAATGCAATAAAATATTTACAAAATGAATTAATTAGAGGATTCAAAATTATCTTTAAAGCGGCAACGGAAGATACAAATATTCTTATTAGCATGCAAATGTTTTCAAAATAATAAATAAAATTTTTTTTTGAAAGGTGGATGAATTTATATGTAAAAGTAGCAGCATTCCACTAAAGTACAGTACAGAACCCGTTATCCGGAAATCAGAAAACCGGAAAACCAAAAAACCGGAACGAAATTCAATACATTTTCCCGCCATTTTTTAAAAAAAGAAAATTTTTCCTCATAAGATTTTAGGATTTTTCTTTCTTTTTTGAAAGATGTTCACCTTACCATCATTTTGGAAATAATCATTAGTGTATTACTTCATCGTTTTTTCCTCTTTTTAAGATTATTTCCACAAAAAAAAATTTTTTTTTAGTTGGATTTAACAATAAAAAAACGGTTTTTTGTAGCGATTCAGAAAACCGGAAAAATCAGTTATCCGGAATAGCGATGGTCCCGATCGTTCCGGATAATCGGTTCCCTACTGTATTTCCAAAATTATAACACTTTGTAAAAATATTTTTAAATAGAGACGAGTATATATAAATATTTACGTAAGTGGTAAATATAGAAATATTTTCAAAAATGTAATAAGCTGAACCAATATTTCTAAAACAATAAAAGTATACACTAAAATGCTCGAAAAATCTAATAAACTGCACAAATTTTTAAAAGATAGTTCGCTGTCATTAAAATAAAATGAGTAAAATTATGTTGAAGAAATTTCCTACAGCAGGTAGCAAAATGCAATTTTATATCTCAAAGAGCAGTGGCATACACACATATAAAAAGACAGTATCATAACATAGATTAAAAAATTATATAATAAACATTGTGTTGCATAGATTTATATAATAAATTTAAAGGGAAATTAGAACAATTATGGTACAAATGTAAAATTATAATAATCATATATAGTGCAAATGTAAGTTAAAGTTAACAACCTAGAATTATTGGGTATCACTCCACGTTGTATTTCTTGCCCATTTCTTCCTAATCTGTACACCAACCAAGATCCAGGTTTTCCATTATGTAATGTATCCACAATATGGAAAACTTCACCTTTACGGAAACTAAGCTCGCCTTTGCCTGTACTCTCATGACTAAAATGAGTCCTGGAAAATAAATAGGAACATAATAATAAATATAACCTAGTTAATCTAAACAGAATGTCATACCATGTAATAAACAATACAGTATATATAACACATTATAGCACTCTAAGATTAAACTCACAACATAAGGTATAAAGGAAAAAGAACATTTAAGCTAAATTGAATGCATTTTTTTCATCATTATTATTTATAAACAAATATACAAAAAGCATATAGCTTGTATATTTTTAAAACTTAAATTAGGTTTTAATATTTATATTCAAAGTNATTGGCCTAAATGAACATTCATACATTCCACTATACATCGATACGCCTAATAAAGGAAGCAGCAAAGCTTTCTTCATTATAAAACTATGTGTACGCCAATTCTGGCATCACAATAAACAAATATACAAAAAGCATATAGCTTGTATATTTTTAAAACTTAAATTAGGTTTTAATATTTATATTCAAAGTAATATCTTGCCTAATGTAAAATGAATCTCCTTTTTGATTATTTATAACATCTTCATATTCTGAAAAACAAAAATAAATGTGTTAAAAATGTACACAGCAAAAATAGTTTACAAAAAATAGTTATTAACATTATAATATTTTAGATAACATTGAGAGAACGTAAAAGAAAACAGGTTACGATGCCATAAGAACTAGAGACTATTATAGTGTATCAAACAAAAATGAAGCTATAACAACTTCTTTCAATGTAAAAGCAATAAACCACAATGTTACAAACTGAGTATGACACAAAAAAAAGGTGCAAACAAGCAAAATAAAAGTAGGACAGATTGGATACCCAGGAGCTCTTGAACTTATTTTTTTCATTTTAAGAAGCTATTTATTAAAATACTAAATTATCCCAGCAATAATTATTTATAATTATTATAGATACTTATTTACTGTCCACAATGAAACATTCCTTAAAGCTGTACTTCTATGCAATTGAAATTTTCAGAAAATAACTACTTATCAAGTTTTATTTAGGAATAATTTAAGAAGAAACTTTCTGGAGGAAAAAATAGTAAGTAACTTTTTTTTAACTTTAAAGAAGTTCTTTAAAGAATAATGCTTTAAACAAAATAACTTTCATGAAATAATGACTGCAGCAAAAACAATGTTATTGTAGCCCTATTTAAGTACATACATGGACAGTTTTAGTTTCAATATTCTAAATAAGAATTTTTCTCAGTATCTAAATCCAAATAACCAAACGATGGAGTCTAAACACTTTTGGTGTTCAGATACTAAGGAAGGTTCTTGTTTAGGGAACCGAAATTATTGTATATCCATTTCTGTACTTTATTCCTGTTGTTGCCTGCTTCAATAACAATTTCAACAAGGAAAAAAAAAATAATTTTTGTATTCATAATATTTATTCAATACTGTTAGGTTAAGTTTTGCCCATCTCTTACAACACATATTATTACTAAATATGAAAATAATGTAAATTCACCTTCACTTATTTTTTCATGAAAAAGCATTAAAGTTACTACCACACGTAACACAAAATTATAAAATGAAAATGGCACCTTGAGTTTATGCCACTCAAACTGTGAGTTTTTTTTAAAATGGAATTAAATGGCATTTTTTATGTATGCTTAAATTGTTCATATGCTGTGGTGGTCGAAATCAAAATTTTTTAAATCAAGAATTAAATATTGAAAGACAATTTTGATTACACTAGCAATTATTTTCACACAAATGTTAGCATTTCTATTTTTATTCCCCTTGATAGAAGAGCTTGGAAAAATACCCTTAAGTGCCAGCAAAAATTGAAATATAAAATAATTTTTCCTCTGTGATTTACATATATTGATAAAATGTTTACAAATATAATTAATAAAACAAAATTGTATTTCATTCTTAAAGAATAAAATTACTTGATTACATATACATAAAAAAATTACCCTCTTTTCGATATTGGACAATGAGATTCACTTGATCCTGTATGCCAACCAATAAGGCAACAGCTTCTTCCTTTGTGAAGCCTCGCATATCTATATCATTCACCTTAAAAAAAAAATTAAAAATACATAATCTACAAGTTTGAATTTGAATGGATAAAACTTTGTTTTCATAAAACCCTCCATAATAAAACTATATTTACTAGAAATCAATTTCAACACATTTATTTTGATGGTTCAACTCAATTTAATAACAATTATTGAAGTGTTACGGAGAAAGAAAAAAATTTTGCCCTTTAAAAATTAGCAGTTAACAAGTTTGAATACATAAAGTATCAAAATCACCAAGATTATTTGATTTGGTACAATCCTTTTAAAGCAGGAAATAACTAAGATTGGGACAAACTCATCACACAAGGAAATATTCTACAGCTAAACTAGTTTCAACACCACTTTTGTAAGTATTATAGCAAAAAGGTTATAGAAAATTCACATTTTCAAAATTAATTATTGAATTAAATCAGGAAAACAGTTGAAAAACCTTTCAAATTAAGTCTGAATTTAAAACCATACAGTTAGCATAATTTACACAAAAAATAATGAAATTTAAAAAGAGGTGCTGGCACCATAGAATAGCACTAACTGTAGCTAAATAGAAAAATAATAAATAACATGCATGTCCTAAACTTTCAATAAAATATTATGCAATATAAGGCTTTTCCATAATCACTGGCCTTAATATATTTTAAATCTTTAAAAAATGAAGACCCAAATTCATTAGAGGTCACAATTTCAGATATAAGTGAGGAAACTAACTTGAAAAACATGACAAAGTACAATTGAGAAAGGCAGATTTATAAAATAACAAAACCTGCTTGATTGCTAATTGAAGCATGTTTTAACATTCAAATCTGGACAACCAAACAGATTTTGATATCTTTAATCTGGCCTTCCTCAATTGTAATTTGGAAGACATTAATAGCATGTTTTGTGTTTTTGTTTCATTTTATTAATTTGTAACCCTTATTTGTATTATTTTTATTACATTTTTCATAAGAATTCTGAAAATGTATAGATTTAGGATGGTGGTAATAGAACACCTTGCATAATGCCTATGTAAACCAGGGAATTCGCTAAAGCATAGAACTAAATGAAAGTATAGAATTAAAAAAATACGGTAAGATTTGTTTTCTTTTTAATATAAACATGTGTTAAAAGTAAATCAAATTTAAAATTATATTTAAAGAAAAAACAATAAAATATGCACTTTTAAAATTTTGTCCCCAGACTGCAACCCTTGCAAAAAAGCTGGAGTTCCATGCTGAACACCGGTCACAAAAATACCAACATCGTTGCCTCCAGTGAGACGTATTCCAACGGTTCCATCTTTTTGAAATGATATGAATCGTGGATCTGGCCTGAAATATAAAAGTCAAACTATAATTATAAATATAAAATAAATTTCATGACAAAGACTATTCTGAAAACAAAACATTAGCAAATGAAAATATTCTCAGGATAGTTTGAATTATTGAAAGATTGATTCTTAATAGAAAAAATCTTCTGAGAATTGAGAGAAGAAGCTTCAATTTAAATATCTTTTCAAAGCTCAAGAATATTAACTTTTGGCTTACAAGTGTAGCAACAAGTAGATCTGAATCGTAGATATTAGCATACTAAGTGCCACATGCAAAAGGCTGATAAATAATTTTCTTATAAACTCAGTAATTTATACAAATATTAAACACAAATTGTAGAAAAGTGTATTTATTTGTTATTTGTTTGCTTTTGTAATTCCTAAACGAACTTTTTTAAGCATTGATATTCTGCAAAAAAACAGGTAATAAAGCATCATTATAATTATTAATAATAATAAAGATGAGTAGACCTCAATAATTACTATTTTAAATTAAAAAGAAATATATTTCGAGAGAGTATTATCTTTTAGGCATTTATTAGCACTAATTAAGTATTCATTTAGGCAAAATTCATTAGCAATTAGAGCAATTTAAAATCGTCATCAAAAGCATAGAGTGATTATTGTATCATTGCATAACTTTATTATTGTACAAAACAAAGAAAAGAAACTTACGGTGTTGAAGATCTTCTAAAATAATCATAGTTATCATTTCTGTTATCTAAAATATATATAAAAAAATGCACCTTGAATGTGAATTTATCTTAATTAAGTAAATATTTGTTTAATTTACATTTATTTTAATCCATAAAACAAGAAATATTTCAAGCAAACAATTTGCATTATGTTAAGATACAATTACAATAAAAAATATTTCCTAATAAATACTTCTTTAAGATGAAAATGAGCTATAATAAAATCAGTAATTGAATAACTTACATGCTTTTTTATATTATATTAAGAAAAGTTTTATTATAAAACATCAATATATAATTGTTAACATTTATAATGGAATTAAAAAAGTAATCATTAATACAATTATTACTACAACTTACAGAAATATTAAAATCAAGATACTATTATAGTAACAATAAATATTACAGAACTGAAGTTTAAACTTATTAATATGATGTTTATAACTATCATACTAAATCCAAGCACAACAAAACAAATGAAACTTTTTTAAAAATCTTTATAATTTTTATAATTCCAATAAATAATACTGCTAGCATGTTTTAAAACCACACAAATATTGACCAAAAAAAAATTATTTTTTTTCTTACAGGATGGAAGCAAAAACTATGGAGATTACTTTTTTTGCGTGTATTATCAATAGGAAGATCAAATGTAAATATTTAAAATATTTTTAATTTATATGAAAAAAGCTTAGGATTATTGCTATGTTGCAAAGTAACATTTCATATAATCTTGATTGTCTATTAAATAAAAATAACTATTTAAACGAACATTTTTCAATTTTATAATGGACAGTCAAGATTGTACTGAATATCATGATGGGATAAATGGTTTTCACCATTAAGTAGGCACTTAAACAACACTCTTCAAAGCTTCAACAGACTATTTTGAATAATTATAGCTGAATTAAATTAATATAGTGTTCAATTTAAATTCTTTATTTCGTGGGTGATTATGGGCTAGTTGGCTTAATAATCAGATTTGAAGAAAAAAAATATATCATTAAGTTGCAACCAATGTTGTCAATTCTGACAAACAATATAAGAAATTACATATTCATACTGAACTTCATTTCATCTTTCATTGGGTGGATGGGTGTCTGCTTGTGAACACAGGGTGAAATTAGGAAATTCTACAACTTGCCAATTTTTAACTAAAGAATTTTTGCCAGTCCCCACTTTTAAAAACATACAGTCATATTTTTAAAAATATTTAACATTTTAAACGTTTGAACATTTATTTAAAAAACTATTGATATTAAAAATGCATTTTTTGAAGCATTTATCAAAATATGGTTAACACTACAAAGTTAATTTCTAAAATGAAAAAAACATTTTAAGTAACAAGCTTGAAATAAAGTAATTTTCAAATTATTAAACATTCATAATAATCACAACTTAATTAAATAATAATAATAATAACTGCAAAGCATATCTAATTCTTTTTTGAATAACCTAGCCTGGTCTGAATTAGTAGATCAGTTAAATATAATTGTAACCAATAAACTACTAAAAAAACTCGTCATCTCACTCAATTAGAGATTAGCAAAACTAAATAAAAATGTGTAACAAAGTAATAGCGCTAAATAAATAAAGTAACAAATTGTTGATCCCCAATATTTAAATACAGTTGTTACTATCCATACTGTTATGAAAAATACGCAATATTCAAAAGCGTTATGGTACATCAAAAGCAGGACAGACCTTGAGGTAAAGGTGGTCGTGGAGGTACATATAGATCCTCCATTCTATTTGGACTATGAGCATTCATCGGCATTTGGTTCAGATTGTCTGGAGGGCTGTGGATATTTTCTGTCAAATTGTGATTCCAGTTTCCTTGTGGTCTAAAAATAAGAGTATATCTTAAAAAAACAAAATTATTTTGAATAAAAAAAGTAAACAATGTACTAATAGTACTAATAAAAAATAAGTTAAAAATAACAGGAGATAGAGATTTTCAATGAATAGTTTCATTTTATAAAGAGCATAAACTCTGAGTAATTTTGAATGTTATATGAATTCGAACACACATAAAAAATTTTAAAATACCAAAATTCACACACTTAAAACATATATTTTTTATAAAAGCTTGAAATAAAAAAGAAACAAACAAGAAAAAAACATTGTAAAGGATTTACTTACTTTTTGAACAATTGAAAAAATTATATAATTCCATATGTTAAGGTTAGAAGGTTTTATAATTATACAATTAGTTTAAAAAAATTTTGGATTATTTTCATTACTAGTTTTTAAAGACTACATACAGCTGACTTTTAACTGCTTGGGTGTGATTTTCAATTAAAGTGTAATGTAAGCTCTCTTTTGGCTAAAAAACCACATAAATACTAAATAAGTTTCAAAAAAATAAAAATAATAAAAAAGCAAATGATCCCTGATAAGAACACTTTGAATAATTAATTTCATAAATAACAATATATGTTTTTATGCAACTTATCAATTTTCATACCTTGCTAAGTTATTTTTATCAGTCAGTTTTGTTGTTGAAGATTTGAAATCTGAAATTAAAACAAAATTTAAGCATAAGGACAACTTTAAAGATTTATAAAAAATTAAATAAAATTAATAACTATAAAAATGTAATCAACATCTAATTTGGATATGTTGAAATATAATTACTTTCACTATAAAACTATTTTAGTAAATCCCTATGAGATATGAACATGAATCCTTTAAATTAACTATTGAAATGTACAGTCTGTAAAAAATATATGTATGAAATTGAAAAGTAACTTTCAATTGCGAACTTATTAACATTTTCAAAATTGNGAGCACAAAGGGACCGTAACATGTACTCGTTAAATCCGAGTGCTCGTAATAAACGGGTACTTGAGACAGGCGTGCAACCAGAAGAGGGGGGGGGGCTTGGGAGATCAAATGATTGAATTTACTTAAAATTTAATTAATATACTTACTTTAATTACATTAATTAATTTAATCGCGTGTTTTTTATTTCGAGCACATTTCTTATCATTTTGAAAAAAAAGATAAGACAGAAAGATTAGAAAGATGAGAAAAAAGATTACAAGACGGAAAAATATTGCTCGCTAAAACCAGGTCTTGCTCGTTAAAAGCGACTTCTGTTCCNAAATTTTTCGAATTTCGTTCCGGTTTTTTGGTTTTCCGGTTTTCTGATTTCCTGATAACGGGTTCTGTACTGTATATAAATTGCATATATCAAGGAAAGTAATAAAAACATGAAAGAAAGAACAGATAAAAAAAAATAGAACATATAATTATAAAAGTAAGTAAGTTACTTTAAAGTTACATATTTTTAACACATTAGATTAAAAGTAAATGAAGCAGGAGTTCAATCTTTTACTTTCGAGTTCGCACTAAGTTACACGAAAGGCAAATTTCTCCCCAATACTTGATCCAGGAGTGTATCGTCTTCTAGATTGGAATCAAAATAACAAGGCTACGGAGCTGAACATTAGTAGTCGTAAACTCAAAAAATTGGGTCGGCTGTTAATCGACGGTTATAAAATAAAAAATATATAAAATTAATTGTACAGTACCTCTAGTTGGGGACTGAACATACACATTTTGATTACTCCAAAGAGATCTGGAAGATGAAATATCAATAACACTTGGAGATATGGGCATATCTGAAATTGAATATTTTACATTATATAAGCAAAATGGGCCCTTTAATAGACATTACATTGAAATATGGTAATAAAAGATAGGAAATAAAGTGTTAATGTAATAATGATGCATGAAAATAAAATTCAACTTTTTAAACACAAAGCTTTTCCCTTCCTTGCTCTGCAATGCTTTCATGATGCAAGTATAATCATAAAAAAAGTGATAGTAAAGGCAATCATAATATTTGGATAATAATAGAATATGTCTAGTAAGAGATTAAAATTATTTAAATAATTATTTCGAACGATTTTACCATTTCAGGGTGCGTAGTCAAATTCAACAAAAAAATAAGCACTTTACAAGTAATCAAATAATATTTTTAAGCACTTTAAAAAAATATAATAATTAGGTATGGTTGGAAAGTTTTTGATAATTGATGGTTTTATCGGGTTTAAATCGTTATGTTAAAAAAACCTTTTGGCATTGTTTTTGACAATTGTCAAAATTTTTGAATCATGTAAATCGAATGGAGTTTGCATATGCTACGGACTGACAATGCGCCGAAAAAGTTGAATTGAACAATGTAAACAGTGTCTTTCTGCATAATTTGTAGCAAAAATCAACACGGTAAAGGAAAAATCTCACTTTAGAAAAGGGAAAATTAAGCACTTTTTAAAAACACCCAATGAAAAAAGAACCTTAAAGGGTTTTTAAAAAACGAAAACCGAAAATAAGCACTTTTTAAAAACGTTAAGCACCCTGAATGTTAAAGGTATAAGTGAAATAAGACAATTTAGACTTCCACAAGGGGAAAATTAAAAAACATAAGAAATAATTTTATATAATTCCTATTTTGCATAACTATAAACATTTCAACTCAATTTTTTCCAATAATATAATAAAAACCTCCTCTAAGTAAACATGGACAAAAACATTTGCTAAAAATCTGCATATAAGTTACACATTTTTTTTTTTTTTTTAAGTTCTACTTTTAAGTCAAATTCCTAAAATAAGAATTTTAAACAAAGATTCTTGCAAAAAGAATCAATTTCAAAGAGTAATTCACAAAGAGTTGCAAGCAACTATGAAAGTTAAAAATTTTTAAGAAAATAGGAGGGTCCTGTTCTTTCTCACTCCACTCACCAACCCCCATGGTTATCTCTCATTGATCATTGTTTCCCCCCTTAAAAGACGAAATTTTTCAACAAAAAAAAAAAAAACTAAGAAAACTTTTTTTTTTTCATGAAATATATAATTATAATAACTTTACACCAGTACATTCTGTTAATACATTAACCATACAAAACTAATGATTCTTTCGATTAGAAAAATAATCAACTGCACTTTAAAAAAATCAAAACTTATGAACTAGGAATATCTGACACAATAAAAGGTAATAGTAGAGAAGTAATTTTACTGGTTAACTATATATAACAATTACCTAATTGTGTATAAGTTCAAATTGGAAATGATTTTTAAGTCTCTCAAGTCTTATAAATATATATATTTTAAATACTCGTGCAAATGCTATGATTTCATATCTGTGAAAATCAAATTTCCTCCTCTTATTTTTCATTTTATTCATTTCTTCCTGTTACTTTTGACGTGAACTCAAGCGCAAACTTATAAAATGAAAATAAGTAGAGAGATTTTCTTAAACAATGGATAAATAACTATTATTTAAAGTTAAAAAAAATCCATTGAAACTACAATAACTTTCGAACAAATTAGATTTTCGAAAAAATCCTGCATTAAGTTCATAATTGAAAATAGTCACTAAGCACATCCAATAGCATAATAATATGTCAAATAACACATCAAATTTTAACTAATTGAAAATAGTCACCAAGCTCAATAGCACATCAAAGTTTGACTATCTAGTTGCACTTTAGTGGGCAGAAAATAAACCAACATAGTTTTCTGTTTTGAACATTATCTGAGAGATACTAAAACCACCTGCTTCCCTCTATTTGTACAAATATATCTAAAAGCAGTATTATTAATTCTCTTTGCTATAATAATGAAGGTGGATGAAATGATAAAACTATAGCAAAAAATCCAAAATTCATTTCTTAAATCTCAATATTTAGAGTTTAATGATTATATTATGTATAATTGTATAAAGAATTGTTTATTATTAATAAAAATATACATTTTAAAATCTCATTATGAGAATTATTATATTTCCATATTTTTTAACCAAATTCTCTAAGGGTAGTAGTGTTTAAAGAACACCTAATATAATAACCTTTGTTAGGAGAAATATTATTGTCTGCGATATATCTGTTGGAGTTGGACCAGTGCTCTTGGCTCTCTGTTGTTTTGCTCCCATCTCTTCGCACTACAAGATGAAGCTTCTCTTTAGAATTGTCTATCAATTTCTTAGCTTCTTTAAAAGTGAGACCATCAACACTGTTACTGTTTATCTGAAGAAATACAAATAGATTAGAAATAAAAAGATATAAATCATTATATCAAATACATATATCAAAAATATATGAAAAGATATAAATCATTATATATAATCAGTGATTAAAATCACTTTTCAAAAATAAAATAATATATTCTTCTCCAAATTAAAATGAAGAAAATAACTAAGAATAATTTGGTAGTTCATTAAATGTATAACAAAATAGTACAGTTTTGCTAAAGTAACATAAATAGTGTGCTCAACATTTCTATTATACAAATATAGAGATGCTAACTTTCCAAATTAGCTATCATTAATTGGAAGTACAATAATACAGTTTGCCTTACCAATTCAAATTATAGTGCAATTTTAAGATATTTTTATTACTTTATTTCATATTAGGTATGTACCAAATATAAATCATATTATGCATGAATTTATTAAAAATTAAAACAGAAAGTTACACTTAAGTGTTACTTATTTTTAGAATATTTGCTGCAAATACAAATATTTTATAACTCTTGGTAGTTAAGGAAAAAATACTTATTTTAAGCAGATAATTAAAATTAGCAGAAAATTCTCAAAAACCATACTTTTTATTACTTAACCGTAAGGCCATGACATAGAAATCGTAGCAATTATTAATAGTTGGCACCTCTGAAAATATGATAAAAAATAAAAAATAAAAATTTTTAAAAAAAAGTAGAATTTTACCTTAGTTATAATGTCTCCTTCGTGTACAGATTCTTCTTTAGTTAATAATGACTTATTAGTTATTTCTTTAATGTATATCCAACAACCCAACACAATTCCAAAATCTACAATTTAAAAAAGGTTTCATTTTAATATAATAAAGAGTTAATGAGCAAACAATTTTAACGATTAAAACTAAAAGAAAATTTTTTTTTATTGAAATCTATGCTAATGCTAAAAGAGTTGAGTAATCTTTGTATCCTGTTCTTGCCAAATTGTACCTTCTACAATGTCTTTGCATTATTTTATATACTCAAGCATACAAAAGATAAAAATAATGATTGAAGAAAAACAAAAACAAAGCAACTTTTGATTTAATGATCTCTTTTTCATGCACTAAGAGACACTTTTCCTCCATTTTTCTTTAGACATCCTTCGAACAAAGCATGCTAATAATAGCAAAATAATTATAAATGAATTAAAATCTCATGACTTTGAGGACAAGTTAGAATCTAATTATTAGAATCAAAAGTTGTACAATAAGCATTTTTTTTTACTCAATTGTTAGACAGTCTCTAATTTGGGTAACAACAAATCAAATATAGCAAAAAATAATGGTAATCTGATATTAATAAGGAATGATTGATAAGGATGACACCAGGTGTAAGACCAATTAAGTGATCAAACAACTGGAAAGGGTGTGAAATACCATAATCTCAGTGGTTATGCATTCATTGATTCCTGAATCCCTATTTTTTTAATCCTTACAAGATGGGTGAATTACATAAGACATAACAAAACACTTTATAACAGAAAGTAATTTTAACAATAAGGAAGAACGATGTTAATGTTACAGTGCTTGAATGTAATCTGCATATTAATATTAATTAATATTACATTACTAAACAGAGTGCCATCTGTGAAAAAGAGAAATATTACTAACAAACTGGCTTGAACAAATTTCAGGGGTGTTTGTAGGACCCCAAAAAATCCCCTGAAACTTTTACATACATACAATCGTTTTACATACATACATATTAAAAACATAAGATTTTTTGCTGTATTTAAAATATTGAAACCCCCTCTCTTCATACTTATTTAAAATCTTGCCTCTAAATATTATTAAGTTATTTCCTAAAACAAAATAAGAGCACTGAAAATTTTGAAGGTAATAATACAATAATAAAATGCAATAAGTAAAAAAAAATATTAGTAAAAAAAAGTAATAAAGTAAAATAATTGTTTAAAAACAATATGCAATTAGTGGATGGTCCCTCAGATAAAAAATTTACGTTAGGAAACTCAATTAATTCTTATCTTTATTAAATGAAATGAATAAAAGGGAGATGGAAAGTTTGAAGCTTTGTAATTCTTGACTGTTCTGAGGATCAACATGAAAATATGTACTTAGTGGATGGTCCCCTAGTTAATTCATGGTACTAATCTATAAATAGAATAGCGCAAGAAGGCCATTAGCTTGCCATTGACGAAGACGATGGCACTTCAATAACGATGAAATCAACAAGAGAAAAAAAAAATTCTTATGCTATTGAAATTTGGCAATGTAAGTAAGAATTCATACAGTAAGTGCTTACAGTAAGAATTCATAATTAAGTAAGAAGAAAACTAATTCTAACATTACTTTTTCGAAAATGCGATTGTTTATTTTTAAAATAATACTATATGCGTTTTAACGCTAGAGGATAAAATGCAGTGTAAATTGCATACCTTCTTTCTTTTTGTTCTTTGTTAAAGTAACTTTAAGGGTCTGAGGTCCATTGTTATTAGCTGGTAAAACAACTCTCCTTTTTATGACCTAAAAACAAAAGCAAGAATATTGAGCATTCATTCATTGTAAGAATATTAAGCATTCATTCATTGTAAGAATATTGAGCATTCATTCACATTAAATATCACAGTTATTGTTAGTGTGTAAACGTGGGGTTTTTGCCAAAGGGCCCAGTATTCCTGGCAGGGATAGCCCACACCTGTGATATCCACAACTTTTTTAATAATTATAAATACTGACTTTCTTAAAATGTATTTTAGTTATTAAAAAACAATGACCAATTCAAGATTCCTGAAGGCAGGGTTCTCCACATTTTTATTAGTAGAGATCATAGTATTAGAAAATAAGATTATTAACAAGGAGCTCTTAATCCTAAAATGCCCAACTCATGAACGCCCTCTGCCTGATATATCAGTGATGTAAATTCAATGATTATCCATAATATTAAAATAATAATTGTTGTAAATTGTAAATTTTTTTAAAATTAAATTTGAAAATCGAACTGGACTCTAATACTGTTTTTCGATGCTCTGTCGACAAAGAAAATAAAGTCACAGTCAAAAGCCTTACTCTTGAAGCAAGGCGATGATTTTAAATTACGTTGTATACATATAATTTTGCAGTGCAGAATTATCTGAGCTTTAAAACAGACAAATAACTTAAATATTTTAAAAATTATTAAATTTTTTTAAAGATCGCTAATTTGGTAACATTTTTCCACCTAGATTAAAATTATCAAAATCACTGCCTTATTTTCAGTTTTTGCAAATTTTTATGAGCCCAAATAATGCAGCATTGGTGTAAGTCTTTAAATATTAAAATATTAGACCACAAACGCTTTTCATTTTCACAAAACTGTGGCTTTCCACCATATTGAAGTTTTGCTCCATTTTCAAAATAAACATTGACAGCGCTGGCTTTAGATAGGCTAAACTTGAAATAACAGTCAGGAGTAAAAGTTGCAAACTCACAGCTGTTATAAAAATAGCATATTATTCGCAAAAAGCATAATTTATATTACGACGGAGTTTTTGAGAAACAGCTTTTTAAGGAATAAATTTTTCTAGGAGCCCAAGTGAAAAGGAAATATTTAAAAGCCCCAGCAATTTTTGGCCAAGGTCTTGTTGACTATAATTTATATGTACTGCAACACTTGTCAGTACCATAATCACGTTATATTTTTTAAAAATCATCTGAAATATTTTAAACAAAAATCAAGTCGATAAAAATTAAGACTTCTTTTTAGTAGTTGAAAAAAATAAGAAGCAATTAAGAACTTTGTTGAAGTTAGGGGTAATAAAGATGAAAAAAAAAAAAAAAAACTATAGAATAACGATTATCGATAAATTCTGTATCTAACTTTATTTATCAAAATCTTTCATTTATTTCATACTCCTAACCTCAGAGACAGTAGCAAGATTGATGATACGTCACTTTTTTTATGGAGCTGTCACCTTATGATATCAATTGCATTTTTTATGCTACTTAATGACTTTTAAGGAGAACTGGCTCAAGGGATCGAGAGCTGTATTTTCAGATTTACGATGAAAGTATAACATAATAGCAATTCAAAATGCAGCAGCAACCTATAACTTATATACTGCATTGCTTAATGCATATGCTTTTAATCCTCGTTACTTCGAAAAAAAGATATATATATATATATATAAAATTTATCAACTACGATCAATAAAAATAGATCCATTGTTGATACAATATAATCTATAATTGCACCGTAACTTAATTTATATTCTAATTTCACTAAATAAATTTAATTATTACTTTAATTTAACTGCTAATTTAATCTGTTTTCATCTTAAAGATAGAGGTTTGTAAGATTTAATGGATTTCCAGTTAGACCCTGTTTCTGGTGAACACCTGATCGGGGGAGAAATTACTGACCTCCTCACCATTTCTTGCCTGTTTTCTCAGGGGATTTCCAAAGGTTGTTTCAAACAACTTTTGGCTTTTTAATAGTCGTAGGTGGGTCTTAGATTTACTCTTTGATACTTAGGATTCGTTAAATTATTTTAGTGCTCGATCGTGGCTTAAACTCACAACCAAGATGATTGGGTTTTAACTTTTAAGGGAATTAGATTTTTATGGATAGTCCAAAAATAATTTCTGCAGTGTTGGAGAGAGTTAAGGAGGTAAAAAAATCAGGAAAATTTAAAGAAAGAAAAAAATATAGTACAGATTTTGTAAATTTTTGTCTTCAAATAAAAAAAGATAAATATTCACTCAATTCCGCAATGTATGTTTGGAAAGTTTTCACTTCTTTCTCAATTTCGCAATGTATGTTTGGAAAGTTAGTAATTTATTTTGTAGCTAAAATAAAACTTTATTATTAATTACCTTTTCCTATTGATATTTTAAAATTTAATAAAAAAAACTTGTTTTTCTTTGGAAGTTAAGTCTTTAATTTTCAACCCATCCACCATCGTATAACAACGAACGGCAGACCATTTTCAGAAATATCCCCAGGATGAGAATTAGGAGGGAAATGGATGAGAACTTCGCCATCTTCTAAATATCTTATTAGATGGAGTATAGTTTTATTGGATGGAATAATCCACACCATTCACTTTTTTCTTTCTTTTTATTGATCAGTGGTCTATTAAAGGAAAAATGTTTCCTTTATTTATTAACCAGTATAAGACGGACACGCCCTAACATTAACACCGGAAAAAAAATGGTGGTATAAAAAAAATATTACTTCACTCACAGAGAGACAAACAACATTTCTTCTCTTGTTATTTGTTATTGAATTTTCTTACAGGGGAAATAAAAAAAATAAAAAAAACATTTAAATTATTTATGACTAAACAGTTCTTGGATCAGGAAGGTAATTTTTATGAGCTACTTTAATTTATTTATCGCAGATAAGAATTGAAGAGGTAATGTCTCAGCTTAAAACAATTAAAAAATGAATATACTCAAAAATTAATATACCGATAATGATTGCAATAGGAAATAATATTCTTAATATTCGCAATCTGGGAGCAGACCGGTTCCAACAAGTCTTGATCCTCTCTCCATCTCTCTAATCCACTGCTCAGTTGTATGAGAATGTATTACGATATTTCCCCCTTCTTTAATATTTTTCGTATTTAATTTTCAAAACTATTTTCTAAAATTTCCAACTTTTAGAGCTATGTTTAATGTACTTTTGAGTTCTATATAGCTTCCTTACCTAAAAAATTTTAATCTATTTGAAAATCAAAACAGAAACGAACGTACTTCTCCTATGACTATCCACACGCTGATGATGAAAGCATGAGAAGTGTTACCATAAGTTTTGATCTGCGCCACATGTAGCTCATTTCTAAAGGCAGTATATGTATTCTCTTACGTGCTCATATATAAGAGTCTCCGTTAACAATAAGTATTTTGTGACAAATCAACAAACACACATTCTGTTATAGGACAAATACATCGGTTTCGGTTACTTTATTTGCAATTTTATTGCAATTGCTTTCGATAATGATTTGCCAGATGTGAATAATTATTTTTATTTCCCAAATGTTAATTTGTGATCGACGGTCATATGACTTTATTTTGGAGCAGAATTCTATAAAAAGAGCACCTCTATGTAGCGACCATTTTTGCAGCGACTATTTTTGTGAGGCACGGAGTTTTTTCTATGAACTTTATATTGAAGAAAACTTTTAAGAGAGATCTTTAGCACCTCACCTAGCGATCGGGAAAACATGTGCACCAAATGCGGAAAAGGTCAAATAAGGTAACACGAAAAAATATAAAAACTAAAATTTTAACAAAACAAATAAGTAGATTTAAATGTATTCAAAATATTTGGGCGAAGCTTTTATTTAGAGAGCTTTTTTTGACGATACAACCTCACGTTGTAGCCAGAGTGCACTAAAGACGATGGTATCAATGATTTACTCTTAGAGTTGTAAGTTAAATTAGAAAAAAAAAATTATTTTAGAAAAAATTAAGCATCTCATATAAACAAACCTCTTCTCACCTTTTCTAACTAATTTTTATGATAAAAAATTAAATGAAAACTTAAACAAAAAACATAATTGTTTATTTATTTAAAGTAGCTTTATCATTCATAATTGGTAAATTTGTTTTTACACATAATTATATCAATTGGGATCATTTTTACAGACACTAAATTTATATTTATCGATCCCTCTTTTCATGACGCCAACAGAAGTGGATATTCCGCACCAAGAAAATGACATTGTCTAAAATTAAAATCGTTAACGAAAAATCATGTACCTTCGGTAACAATTTTGAAGTCAATGGAGGTAACCTCTAAGAACGACCAACCTTCATTTAACGGCCATTTTACTATGGAACAGAGAGTGGTCGCAACCGAGAGGTTTCACGGCATTATAATTTTAATTTTGAAGTATTTGAAACAAATAAATTAGAATCATAACTTACCAGATTAACAGTGGGTCCACATTCTCTGAGAATTTGCACTGCGGTGGCATAATCAACATTTTCAAGAGAGACGCCATTAGCACTTATAACTCGATCGTTGATCCTGCACCAGAGAGAAAGACAAAAAAATGCAACTTGTTTTTAATTAACGAAAATAACTTATTTAGACAATCTGTGAAGACTTTTCATCGATTAGAGAGTCGTTAGTATCGATCTGAAATATGTTTATTTTCCTCGTGAAAATGTCGAACCTAATGGAATGACAAAACGCTGTGGTTAGTGACAAAGTTAGGAGTTTCAAATTATCGGGAAATCAATCATTTATATTTAGACCAACGGGGAGTTAACAAGTGTTTGAAGAAACACTCTGGAATATCATTTCAACATTTCCATTTCTTGATGAATATTGGAATATTTTTACACCTCATTATGATAATTTTAGATTCAGGGCAAATATGGAAGGATCAAAAATACGAGGTTTCAAAGCTTGGCTGTAGGAATTTTACGAAATATCGCTCTCCTCTAAGCAACTGAATTTAGATAAATTCTTAGAACTTCCTGCTCAAGAACATCCCATTTCACAGTCAAAAACATTTTAACTTCTTTTATTTTCATAAACATTATCTTTTTAAATGTATTTGGGACATTTATGTTATGTTTTGGTTGAGCTTCAAAAATTAAAATGATTTTTTTCTCTTCATTTGTAGATGGTGTTCAAATTCTAACAAGCTTGTTCTGCACATTTTTGCTTGTTTGGTTCAGTCTATAATATTTAGAAAGCAGATTTCATAAAGTTGAAGCTCTAAATCAGCGGTTCCTAACTCATAGGCCGCGAACCAGAAAATGGGTCACAGGTAGTGTGATCAAGGGCCGTAGAAGAGTCTAAGCCAAGATAAATCTTGGGGTCTAATACTAGATTTTCGACACAATTCACTAGATCCGGGTCCTTCACCCAAAAAGCTTGAAATTTTCAAATCACTTTTCTTTAAAACTAAACGTGCTTTAAAAAAACCAAAAAAAAAAAAAAAAAAATTATATCTATTCATTATAAGGCAAATAAAGGGAACTCCCTTTAATGATCAGTTTAATGCGCTGCGAAGTCAATCTTCTGGGTCAGAAAATGCCGAGAGAGTGACATTTCTGAGAGTGATTTTTTTTATTTAAAATTTTTATAAAAGGCCCTAAAGGCATATTTAGGCTTAAGAAAGTTCTTCTATTAGAATCAACACATAATTATAACATGTAGATTTTTTTAAAAACGTCGTCACGTAAAATAAAACTGTTTTATTTTTTCAAATATCTTAGATAACATCAGAGATATTTGGTAGCTTATAGCTCTATTTGACAAAAAAGAGTTTATTCCACATACTTTAATAATTAGTTATATTTTCTTCTCTCGCTATGTCAGGTAAATTAAATGAACAATGTTAACATGGTTGCATGGGAGGACTACGTCATCAAATTAGTATTCCTAAAGTCATCTGAAACCACGTGTTTATTTTGTTTATAGTAATTCTTATTAAAATATGTTTCTATAAACGTAAACAATTTAAGATCAACACTAATTGAAATGAAAAATAAATTAGTTATGTATTGAAAGGCATTATCAAGCAATTAATAATTTTTACAAAAAATTTAAGAAAATATTAATTAAGTCATATTCAAATGGACAAGCGAAATAAAATAATTTAAAGAGTTCAGTTCTGAAACTAAATTCCAGGAGCTATAGTTTGAGTAGGTCACAATCATAAGACTAAAATTTTCAATAATCGTACTCTGTTGCAGAAGGTGTTTAGAAAACAAAATGAACATATCTTACCGAAGTTTTCCTTCAGCTGGTCCAGCTTTCAGAACATCTGATATAGCAATAGAAGGATCGCCATTCGCAAAATTAGGATTATCTTTACCTCCACTCACAGCAATTCCGAATCCATAGCCTTGTAACTGCAACAATAATCAGAATTTAGTCTTAAGAAGTAAATATGAAATGGACAAAATCGTAAATAAAACCACCAGAACAGTGTCATTTATTTCTAAACGGAATAATATGGAATATACCTTTTTCACTTTCTTTAAAGCAACATTAATTGTTTTGCTTAAATGAAGAGTTTGTCGGCAAAAGAGGCGGAAAAATTGAACAAAAGATGTTTTGAACAAAGTCTGACTAAAAATAAATTAATAAATAAAAATAGAAAGACCGATTGGGGTACTTGTACTTCGGGGTCATAGGGTCATGTAACATATCACAGACATTAGTCAGATTTTCACTATGGAGACAATTCAGGTTGGTTGGTTGTTTCTAATGCCACTTGCCACACGGGCAAGCCTACTTGGTGAAACCGAGCAAATTTAAGGCAGAGTGTGCGATTCTTGGGCTTCAGTGACGCCATCGATGGCCAAGAATTCGACTTCTGCCACATCAAACCTGTTTATAAGGCGGACCCATTCATTCATCCACAGATCGTAATTTTGACCTGAATCAGAGAACGATCGATCTCCAGTCCAGTACCCCCAGAGGTATTGATTTGTTATAGGAAAATGGAGACAATTCTAAAAGGGTTTACAAAAAAAGAAGAAAAAAGAACACAGCTCAAATTGCTTATTGATTCCATTTTTTATGTCGTACATTAGTCTAACTCATATAGTACATTTAAAAAAAACATTCAAGCTGTTTTAAAAGGTTGTCAAATTTATAACAGTACTTATATTATAAAATTAAACTGCAGGAACTAGAAATTTTAAAACTAATTATCAGAGGTTTGAATACGAAGAAATTGCCAAAAAAGTTACACCTGTCATATACCCAACCACCTCGTCCCCGTAATCCATGACTATGTCCTGTAATGATTATTCCTAGTACCTAAAAATTTCCAGCAGAAGTGAAATTCCACGCTTAGTTGTTAAATTCAGGTTGAACATTAAAGAGGCACTTTTTAAAACATTTTTTAAGCCATGACTGGATGAAAAGCTGCTCAGCAACGACGCGTTTTGTTTATCAGAAGTCAAAGTTTTTTTAAGGATATAAATTAAACCTTAAGTTCAGTTATTACTTGCTGGATTGCACTAAGTCCATCCTGTACATACTAACTTTATTTTAATTAATTCATTTATTTTACGGACCACGAATAAAACTTTTGAGGGTGCCACTGTACCATTTGCAAATCGATACATTGCAATGAATTTATAGCATGTTACAAATGCTATACATATATTATAATAAAAATTACTAATGGTTACAAATGCTATAAATATATTATAATGTTATATTCATTCCATAACAATCATCAGAATTTTAAACAAAGTTATTCAAATTAATGCAACGAATTTAAATAATTATTTTAAAATTTAAGATCACATTTACTTAATATTTCGTAAGAACAGACTCAAAATTTTATTTATTTACGTATTTTCAATAATTTTTTTTTTTATCATTTTAAACAAGTTTTTAGGCTAAAGCTATTCGCAAAATAATTTTTCAGTTTTAATTTGCTAAACAAAATAATTTTTCAAAATAATTCGCAAAATAATTTTTCAGTTTTAATTTGCTAAACAAGACCGATCAAGCATTTATTCGTCTTAATAGTACATGAGTTGAACTGAAAAGACTCCATATGTTTAGTATTTGTACAATTCAATACATATTCTGTTTACAAAAATTGGTTTAAATTATGCAATAAATATAAAAAATATAATACAATATGTACAACTGAAAAAAGCATAAATAATTTATTAAGTACAAATTAAATTCCTTAATGAGATACAAAGTGAATAAAATACAAAAAAAAGATAATTATAATTAAAATAACATTTTTATTACAAATTTTTAAAAGCACAAAACTTTAAATTATTGCCTTGTTTTATGCATTTACTTATGTTGTTTATGTAAGGAAATGGTTCGTTGCCTAATCTTATAGGCAACGAACAGTATGAAACATTTCCGCTGCGCACCCTCACAATCAAAGACACAAAACGATTTCAAAATGAGATTCGAAAACACCGTTTACATCTCCCCCAAACCTAATTTTCTCAGCGGCGCGACATATTTTGTTCGAAAGCGGCAGTTACCCCCATCTTTTAAGAAATATTACACACTCTAGAATGACATTTTATTCTTATGGATCAAATAAGCAATGCCAGAAAAATGCTTTTATTCCATCCTCCTCCCCCAACAGATTTCGCTACACACACACCCTTCACCTGAAAAGATACTTCAACTTGTTATCATTCCCTGAATGAATTACATTTGTTTTATTTCAGCCGGTTTGTTTATTATTCAGATTTTTGCGGAAACGAGTTTATTTCTGCGATTGTTGGCAACAAAAGCTATTGTAGTTTAAGAATCGTCTGCTTGTTCGAATTGGAATTTCTATTGTTCGAGTTTTTTATTGTCGAAAAGCTTAAAAGAGCTTGTCGCCGATCTTTTAGTTGCCATTTGATGGGGAATATTTGCTCATCTTCTGAAAATTATTAGTTATATGTATATATTTTTTTTAATTCATTAAAAATCAATTTTTTTTTTTAAAGTCTGGGAGTTCTATTATTAAAATTGGAAGCACAAGGGAAATTGGATTTTTAATTCGTTTCAGCCGGAGAAGCATAATTAGCATTATTTTTTAAAATTCTTAATATTGGCAACACCGCCATAAATCTTAAAAGGATTTCCCGCGGCATGATAAAAATGGAGAGGATAAGTTTTAAATCATTTGTTCTACCTAATTCGTATGAATTCATGGAATAATTTGTCGGAAACTTCTAATATTTAAACATGATTTCTTAAAGAACTATACGCTGATTATAATTAAGTTTAAAGCATATATCGGTCTAAGATATGTAATTGAAAAATGAAGACCATCATAAGATTAAATATATTATCTGAGAAGAATCTAATTCTAAAATAAGAATTCCTTTAAAACATTGATAATTGGGTGCAGATTCTATTCCATTCTCTCTCTTTTCATTCTTTTTTTTAAGGACTAATTATTGCTCCGCCCACCATTCTTCATCGCTCGAAAATCCCAGAAATTGCTCCATTTGGTACAATCAGGATCTTTCAGTCAAGACAGAAATTTAAAAAAAAAACGGAACATCCTAAATAACCTTGAATAACTTTTTATCTAATAATCGGAATTTCGTGTACTTAGACTTAATGGCTACAAATATACCTTATATAATCATATGCATTATATAAACAGGTATCAAATATTAATCAGTGCAGACGATATTTTAAGTTACGAAATCAGACAGAAAAACGTACTTTTTCTGAATAAAAAAAGCCTTTTTTTCTCTTAAGAAGAAATCAGATTATTGACACTAAAAATATGGGGAGTGAGTGCATTCTGGGAAATAGGAATTCAATATTTCGAGAACTTTTTAAGCGAATCGAAAAAAGTTTGCTCACAATTATAAAATTTGTTTATTCTAAAATAATTCATCTCGTAGTGAACTGATCGTTAAGACACTGTTCCCAGCAGATCACCGAAGTCAAGCATCATTGGCTACGGTCAGTGCGCAGGTGGGTGACCACTTGAATCAGTCTGAGTAGGGATCGAGTGTGTGGGGTATTGGTCCTCGTTAAACTGTTCTACCCTAAAGTGCTCGACTTCGCATGCAGGCCTTCGGGCTACCGAAGCGGGGGTGCCATCCACTCTGCAGAGGATCAAAATTGTATTGTAATTGTAATTTTATTATTGCATGTCTTCGAATCATCCTCAGGGATGTTTCCCCGANGCGGTATTGGTCCTCGTTAAACTGTTCTACCGTAAAGTGCTCGACTTCGCATGCAGGTCTTCGGGCTACCGAAGCGGGGGTGCCATCCACTCTGCAGAGGATCAAAATTGTGATTGCATGTCTTCGAATCATCCTCAGGGATGTTTCGCCGACCGTCGCCAATAGCCCATTGTGCAGCTCTAGTGCGACGTAAATGAACTACAACAGCAAATCAAAAATATTTTCATGTAGAAAATAATTTTTAATAATTTTTTATTGTTTTTAATAATTATTTTTTTATTTTTCATTAATTATTAATTTCTTTAATAATGGTCAAAAAGTTTCGAATATTAAGGTATACAAATTTTAACATTATTTCAAAGCATTCAATTCTAAATGACTCAATATAAAATTGGAACAAAATCGGTCAGATAGTTTCCAAGCAATACAATTTTAAAAAAGTGACATATTTTAAATTTGTTTTGTCGAGAAATATTCAACCGATTTCATTCACTAAAAGTAACTAAAAATGGTGTGCCATTTCAAATCAACCGTAGATTGTATACCTCATAATACACAGTGTTATGAAACACGGTGAATCATTTAGAAGGCTAACCCCATAATCTATTCATTTATAATTTTTAAAAAGGATATCTTTTATTATTTGCATCAACGTATTTCATAACATAATTAGAAAATCAATTTTGTTAAGAAATAAGCGCATATTAGAAGAATCATGAAAATTTAAAGTAACTTATATTCAGACCTCAACGTTGTGTTTTCTAATAAAAATCTAAGCTGATTTTGAAAAAAATAAAGTTTCGCAATATGCAATAAACTGCATACGGATAAACAATTTTTAGTGAATACGAAATAACGATACATAATAAAATCTGACGCAAATTTTCCTTTAGGTGCTTTTTAATATTAATAAATGAAAAATAATCTCAATTTACTGAATTGATTTTTCGTTAACATAAGATCTCTTATACGATTCCATCAAATTAATCAAGTTCGAAATCTCAGATCCTACACTTCCCTTTCCCCTTCATAAGAATCATTCCGAAATTCTAAATATAAAAAATCAAATATTGGAAAAATGCAATTCAAATGAAGTGCCTCAAAATTTTGATTACTCTTTTAAAGAGGATTACCTTTAAAAATAAACAAAATTCAAAGGAAATTATGCGCGGAATTTAATCTACTGTTATTTGATTCGAGTCTTGATTGGAAAGAGA